GTGAGTAAGGACATAGATGAGTTCAATTTGGAAACTGTGGCTACTGACTTTTAACTTGTTGATACAAAACTGAGATGAGATGAGATTCAAAACTGGACCTCGACAAAAGCTCGGCAAAGGGAGAGGAAGAGATTGGATTCACTGAGTCGAAGCATCCGAGTTGTATTGTATCTTAGTAAGGAGTCAGACACGGCCTGGAGTCCTTTGATCAGTTCATGAGCAACAACATTCTTTAGACTTAGTGGGGCACAAGGACGTAATTCGTTCAAAGCAGCAGATACACCTGTGGACATAGCCGGGATTATCAATCAGAATCACACTGTGAAAAAACATCCGTAAGAGATACAATCTTTATTTTGCAACATTTGACATATTTAGAAGTTAGGACACTCATTTTGGTTATATCATCCATAATGTTTAAAAATGACACTTAATAATTATCTCACCGTTTATGAAAACTGCAAGTGGCGGGTGCTCCATCAAGTATGATGGAGGTGTGACATCATCTTTGCTATCTTCATTAATACCACTTGAAGGGAAGCCAACAGATGGTAATGGAACCCACCGATGTGAATCCAAAACTAACTGAAATTAAGACATTATGAAGAATTCAAAAGAGCAATTCAAGAGTGCGACATGTGGTTAATTGGAAACCAAACACTGTCTGAGTTGAGCTCCATGCCAGAACAGAAGTTCAAATTTTGTATTTACTCACCTGGAAATTTTCAACTGCTGTACTCATGTTCTTGGAGAATAAGTTTAGAACCGCCCTGTAGAAAGTATGCGAGTTAGATACTGAATTGTACAGAAATTAGCGAAGATTATGACAGCAATTAAAATTAAATTGAAAGAATTGTTACTCTTCAAAAAGTGGAGGAAGCAAACCCCGGAAGTCTAGCCCAACCCAACCAAGCCCCATCGCACAGTACTGAGTGGACATGAGAAGAAGGTAAGATGTCAATCATCAGAGTTGAACAGTGAATTCAAAGGGGAATACATAAGATGCAGAAGAACTCAACCATGCACTGATCCAAAATATTTGATAGAGATCCTCCTTCAGTAATTTTTGGAAGCATGATTTTCAGAGTCTTCAGGTGTGATGTTATTTGATGCATGGCCCAGCTAAACAGAAGTCCACCATCATAATTTTCTTCGCTCCCCGATGTATCATCAGCAAATATAGCTCGATATTGGTTAACCACGTCAAATAGGTGCATTCTGTGACAGTTTATCATGCCTTTTAAATACTCATAGGCATTTTTCTGGTCTAAATCCTCAAGAATTCCAGTGAGCCACGCCTCTCGGCATCTTAAGAACTGCACAGACAAGAAGATCCATTCATAAGTGAAGGCAGAGCTTACAGAATGAATAATTCCATAGAAAAAGGAATACATGTAATGGAGGATAACTTCAAATGGCTATATGTCAAATTAGTTCACCTGTAATCGCATTTCATACTCGCCAAAGACACCTATTCGGCGTAAGTATCCAATAATGCGGAGACATTCTGGCAACTGAAATATAGAGCATCAACCAGATACTGAGCCTTCTAGATTTCTAAGCTTAACCATTCCATAGTTTACTGAATACAAAAAACAAAAACTGTATTCACATGAAACCTGTATATTTGAGCGTAGTTTCTGGAGAAGCTGTGAGAGAAGTGACTGAGTTGTTTGTCTAACCTCCGCTGCCAGTGCTTGGATAACTGGCAATCTTGATATAGAGAGAAGATATAATTTTTAGAGCTAAAGCTTGATGGTTGAGGCCTTAAGTAGTCAAAGGAAAAGTATTGTGAGAAAGATAACAAAAAAGCTCACTTGGGATGCATGGTAGCAAGTTTCGATACAAATGCTTCCAGGTCAAGAGCCTCATCAAAATTTCCATTCCTCACGCATCTGACAAAGATACAAATCATTTTGAAAAGAACTGTACACATCTAAAAATAGTTTGCTAACGCCAGGAATAAGATCCGCTTTTCTTTTCTCTCATGCAAGGTATGAGAAGAGATTGACTAGAAATCAGATCAAAATTTTTGGCACGAAGTCTAATAGCTTACGTGTCCATAAGCTGAGGAATCTCAAGCAAGTCAAGAAGAGTGCTGTGATTTGCCAGCAAAGCTTGGTTCATCTTCCTCTTCTCCAGAATATTCTCAGCAGAATCGATAAATTCTGTGCAACCGGACGTTAGTTTTGGCACTTCGCCAATCTGAAAAAGGTAAAAAGTACAGAACTCCGACATCAAAATTTGAAAGAAAAAAAACATCTCGAAGGAATGCAACTGCTAAAGTCAGAGGATGTTTTATATAGATGTTCAAGAACCTAATTTGTTTTCTCAAAACATGGAAGCACAATCCCACATTCATAATCCAATGATTCATTCACCTATTCTCAACAAGATCAATCACCCAAGTTTTGCATACACTGAGTCTACAAAACAACAAGACCTGAAACAACATAGTTCTGCAACTAGACTAGACTTTCTAATTCCCTAACTCCAAGACTATTGAATGCTCCAAACACGATGCCGCGTACTCGTCCAACCTTAACTAGTTTTCAGATCTTAGCAGTGATACTTGCACTGTGACTAATCGTAATTTTATCGGCCAGGATTCAGAACTAATCAAGTGAAGCAGTAGAAATCAATTTACAAGTGGAAGGAAAATGTATAACTAACCAGAGACTCGAGATGCTTATCAATGGAAGAAACTTCCTGACGGATCGCAAGCAAAGCATCTGCAGCGGTGATAAACGCGCGGTAATTTCCAACAGCTACCTCTTGCATTTGCCTCTGAATCCTCTCCGCATCTACTCGAAGCAGCTCCGGTTCCTTCAAATTCAGTAACCGATATAAGATTCACAAAAAAACCATGCGCGCAGAGATTTCAAGAGATTGATATAGATAGAGAGAGAGAGAGAGTAACCTTGTGGAGACGATCGAGAGTGAAAGAGAGGAGCTCGGAGACGTACGGTTGCTGAGTGGCGGAAGCGAGAGAGAGAAGACTCGCCGTCGCCTCCGGAGGAGACATCTCCCCAACCTCCGTTGCCATTCCCGGATCTTACTCTTGTAGCCGATGCTATCAAATTCTCCTCAAAGGAAGTAAACAACAGATCCAGAAACTCCCGATTTTTTTAAAAATTAACATCAAATGTTTCTGTGATTTGTTTTCCTGTCTTTGTCTTGCCAGTCTTGGATCTGAAATTTCTCTTCCAATTTTCTTTTCTCTTCGAATTAAGGAGTAAACCAAGTTGATTTTAACCGAAATTCGGCTCTATAAGACTTCGGTTCGGTTAGGAAAATAAACCAACGTACCCGGAGAAATGATTATTGTCATGCATTTCATTTTTTTTTTTTTACATTGCATTTCACTTGTGTTACATATAAATTGCATTAGCTAGATTAATTAAGGGTTTCCCAAAAAAAAAAGAAAAAGATTAGATTAGGGTAGGTTTTGGTTATGGTTAACTTGGACAAAATCAGCTAGCTTAACTCGTTTTCACATGCCTAAATACTTTGACGTTCGATGTGCATTGATGAAAAAGTATATCTTATATTACACCAAAAAATGAATAAACTACAGTATATATTATTCATATATAACAATAGAGGAGTCTTTTACACTAACGAACCGTTAAGAAAAATAGATAGAGAAGATACAACAAGAGCAATCAAAAAAGAAGAAGAAAGGAGAGGAATTGAATTTGATGCCGTGTAGAAGTAGAAATAAGGAAATGGGTACGGAGGCTGCTGCTGCCCTTGTGACTGTCCCTTTGGCGACGGCGGCGAGGATGGTAGTGCTGGTGGAGGTGAACCTTTTCCATCGGGAGATAGTGGTGGAGGAGGTGGTGTGGACTCAAAATAGTAAAACCGTGGTGGTGGTGGATTGATGACGGTAATTAATGGCGGTGGTGAACCTGACTGTGAAAGCGGTGGTGGAGAGTGTTTGTGTGGCGGTGGAGGCGGTGGCGAAGAGGATAACGGCAATGAGGGAGACGGAGGTGGTGGTGTGGAGGAAGAGGGTTTAGAGGGAGGAGGAGAGCAAACGGTGGGACACGTGGAGCATTCGCTGATGCAAAGAGGAGTGAGGACATCTGTTTGATCGGACGGTGATGATGCAACTACTATAACCATGACCAATGCAATGATGATGACCAAGAGGCCCATGATGATGATCTAAAAATTGGTGTTTGGAGTGGAATGTTCATTGCTTTAGTTAGTTGGTTGGACATTTATAAATTATCTTGATGGCTTGATACAAAGATGCTTTCTTGATGGATTGTGTTTTGCTGGAAAGTTAATATTAAAATTGCGAATATCAAAAAGACAATGTTAAGCTTTAGATGTTTTTATTTATCTTAGGGTAAAGATGCAAACATAGCTTTTTCAACATTTTGATAAATGACATGATATTCCTTTCTCAACTCATACTCAAAAATAATTCATTTTATGAAGCAATACAACTGATTCTATAACCAAAAAGTGTCACACTCTCCAAAATTTTGGTCTGTCATTGTTCTTTTTATACTTTGCTTTCAAAGGTGGCTTTGTATCAATCCCATTTTATAAAGGTCATCACCATTGTTTTGATTCGTTCATCTTTTTATCTTTTCTTAGATTTTTGTTTTTGTTTTATAATTTCTCTGTTCTTTGGGTAACCAAGTAGTACTTTCAGTTGTAACCGGGTGATTTTATATGTTGAAGCCCAAAATAAGTTGAACTCTTTTGAGATTGAAAAAAAAAACACCTATGAACCTATCCACACACACAAATCTATATCAATATCACGTTCTCTCAAAAATTAGAATTAAAACTTACAAAGGAACATAATGACAATGTTTAAATGGTCAATAGCTTCGTTAGCTTATGCTACGAGAACATTAACAATAAGCCATTGCATTTTGTTCATTACTTTTCATCGGAAAGCTAGAAAGGTGGAAGTAATATTTTGCAGAGATATATAATATAAACAAGGATTAGATTTTAGTTAGTAATCTCTTCATGGCACTTCACTTACCACTTTCTTACTTTCTTTCTTGAGAAGCAAGCAATCTCTCTATTCAGTTCCTCACAAAAGTCTTGAAAGATTTAACAAGTATATGATCTTCAGACCCGATTGTTATTTATGGCATCCTAATGAACAAAACAGCGTATTGAAAGTGTAAGTAATTGAGTTAAATCTCAAGACTTTGCTTAGGGTTTTATATGTATAGTAATATACCTGGTTCATTGTCCTTCCCCAAGCTTCTTAATCGGAGAAGCTCTGGAACTATTTCTTTTCCAAGATCTGGTCTATCTCTCTTCCTTAGCTCTGCACATCTTAGACACAACTTAGCAAAATTTAAAGCTTCTTCGACAGGCCAATCAGGCACGACCGGGTCAAGCATATCCTTGAAAGTTCCTTTATCGATTGCCCTCGACACATGATGAGCCAAACCCATTGGACTCTTTGCAGTGATGATCTGAAGCAGCATTATCCCTAATGAGAATATGTCTGATTTCGTGGTTAACTTGCCCGTTTGCTGGTACTCCGGGTCTATGTAACAGAACGTTCCTGCTGCAGATGTCATGTGGTATTGCGTCACTGTGTTAGCCACTGACGCAGGTACTAACCGAGCTAATCCAACGTCACTGATCTTGCTCACGTAGTTTTTATCTAGAAGTATATTGGCAGGTTTTAGGTCACGATGAACCAGAGGCTCTGGCTTTGCTTGGTGAAGGAAGGAAAGTGCGGTAGCTATCTCTGCAGCTATTTGAAACCTTTTCCTCCATGAAAGAGGAGGCGAGTTTCCTCTACGAAAGAGTCTATCCTCTAAGCTCCCATTGTCCATGAACTCATACACCAAACACCCATATTCTGGACACGCACCAAGAAGAAGAACCATGTGAGGATGTCTTATGCTACTTAGAACCTCGACTTCTTGTTGAAATTGTTTCTTTCCTTGAGCAGCATCAGGTCTCAAGACTTTAATGGCAACAGGAGTGTGATCAAGTGTGCCATGATACACTGGTCCATATCCGCCTTCCCCTATTTTTCTGTTGTTTGCAAACCTTTCAGTAGCCACTTCAATCTCGTCAATAGAGTATTTTCTGTAACGGACATCGTTCTGTACCAAAGCACTAAGAGCACGGTCTTTCTCCTGCGATTCTCTTCTTGCTTTCATCTCTGCTTGCTTCCTTCTTTGTCCTTCCAACTCTGCCATTCTCTGCGCTTTCTCAGCTGCTTCCAGCGCCGCTCTGCACTTGGCCTTCTCCATTTCCGCAACAGCTAAAGCTGCCTCTTCAGCATTCCTAGCTTCCTCAAATCTTCGAGCTTCTTCCATTTTCCACTGATTAAGCTCATTTGCCTTCAAAAAACATGAGAGCCATAAAATATTAGATGGAGCAAGAAGAAAACATCCTCATCAACTAGTTCTTGTACACCTAACAGTTCTTACTTTCTTTTTCGCATTAAGAGCTTCTTTGCAGGCTGAGCTATACATGTCCATAGTCTGCTTGAGTTCAATCTTTAGCCTTTTCATTTCAGCTTCAATATCCCTCTGCAAATAAGTATTCAACCATTTAGTGCAAACTTATCTTGTCAAACTCGATATTATCATAAAATGTATTGCTCTACTTGTTTACATACCGTTGATTGCGAAACTGACTCATCAGAAGAACCCGATGCACCAACCATATCAAAATTTTCAGCACTTAGGTCAATAGAACCCATCATCATCATAGACCCAACATCAGCATCATCAGAAAATGAACTTCTTCCTGTGGAGTTCCTTTGACCCTTTGCCTGCCTAAACTCATAATTGAAGTCCAATGAACCATTTGTAGGAATTTTGTGCATTTCTCTCACTGGTTTGAAGCCCTTATTATCATGGGAATACCTCTCTGGAACTGTGTTTCTCGCATTACGCTGACCCCTACAATGTCCTCAAGAACAAATTCTCAAGACTTGTTATATATAAAACAAATCATAGCAAGAACATTCTCAAGAGTTTGGCTAATAAATACCTAGGTGAATGAACATGGTCAGGGTCAGGTAGATGAAATGTAGAAGAAGGTGCACGAGGAGGGACAAGAGTATTGGTGATAGGCCTTTGAGCTGTTCTTGAAGAGTGAACTTTGCCTTTAGAAATGACATAGATTGAACAAAACTCAGGCGTTGCTTTGAGAACGGAAGATGCAACGTCATGTGACTTAGTGAATTTGAGAGATCTTGCAAATGGGCTCTTTGAGGATGATCCCAACACAAGGTTGGTCACAAGGTTATTGTTCACGTAATCCAAAACTGCTTTCGCAACGTCGGTATCGTCTAGAATAACCTCAATCATTGAAATCTAAACAATGCCAAGACAAAAGAAACAATTACTAAGTCTTTTGATGCATATCAAGTTTCGACGAAATGCTTGAATGAGAAATTATACCCCTTTTCGTGCACAATAACCTCTGTATGGAACAAAAAGCTGATTTAATTCATTATCATCAATGTTTCCTCCATCTGCAACAACATTTCTTAATTCATCCAATTTAGAAGATGCGATTTGTGTATGATTAGAGAAAAAAAAAGATGAGGAGAAGATACCTACGATTAGAATTTTTGAGACGAACATGGACTAGAATCATCTTGGCATTAGTGACCATATTGAAGAGATGATCGACGGCCCAACGAACAGCGTAGTGACTGTTCTTGTCTTTGTCAATGGCGACCACCGTCGAGTTCACTAGCGTGTGACCATCGTCCGATGGGTGAGGACGAGCCATTATTATCGATCTATATTGAAAAATTAATAATAATATGATATGATTCCAGGTGTTACCAGACACCTCTAGTTGTGTCTGGGAACAAGAAGAGAGGAGAGAAGAAGATTATTGTGAAAGGTTTCTTCTTCTGGTCTTAACTTTTTCTCTCCTCTCTTCTTCCTGTTTCAATGTTTTGTTGCTCCCGGAGACGATTAACTAACTTTTTTTTCCTTAGAGCAAAGTCAGAGAAAAAAGCGGGAGTCAAGATTTATATTAACCATTGTTTTTTAAATTGCTTTTTTTAAGGAGATTCTCTATTTCTTCATCCTTTTTTTTTTGGGTTTTCTTTTTAACAAGAGATGGGTTTTTTCTAGAATATTACATGCAAATCTTTTTTAATTTTATATACGGATTAGCTTCTAGATTTCAGGTTTGGATTGGATTGGATACAAGTAATTTGAGAAAACATGTGTATGCTTTTCCCAAAAATAGGTCACACTAAACAGATAAATCACCAAAAGACATAACCCAAAAAAAAAAAAAAAAAAAAAAAAAAAAAAAAAAAAAAGTTCAATACATTTATATAATTTGGTTCTAAGATATTATTATTACACTATCTCGCATGTCGGTTTGCATCTGATGGGTGGGTCCGGAAAGAAAAGAAGTGGCTCTTATAGGTGACTCGCACGCTGAGTAAGAGCCACTAGACAAACCAGTGACGGTACCATAAAGACTAGGAAGAAGACGACGTCTGTGTCGTTTTCTACTGAATTAGCATCCAAACATGTTATTTTTATAAGCAACAACATAGCACAAAAGTGTAAAAACCAACCTTGTTGTTGGCTCATCTCACATTCCACACCAGAGAATGAAACTCTCATTGAGCTATTACACATTCATGTCTATCACTCATCAAAAGAGACCATGGAGATAAATGTGTAGTATGTATATATAATTTAAGTTTCTTCTATTGCCTCATATAACATCTGTGATCTAAAGGTACAATCATACATTATGCATAAACCAAAGAATCAAAGTAAGTTTAGTTTTTATCATATAGAAAGAAACTAAAAGAACATTTCCATTATCCTCTATAGGAAAGAAGTACCCGCTAGGCCGTGATGCAATAGATTATGTGAGATAGTATCTCTTGCCTTCATCGCATTAACCGATCTCAATGCGTTTTCAGGCAAAACCTCATCATCAATCACTTCAACCATCAGCTCTGGATCCATTTTCTCCTCTCTCATTTCACATATGTTGTGAAGCACACAGCACGCGCCCAAAACCGTAGGCAAATCCTGCAGCTTCACTTCAGTCCGTTTCTGCAGGCACGCCCACCGTCCTTTCAACCTCCCAAACGCTTCCTTAGCCACTCTCTGCACTTCACTCATCTTCTCATTGAACGCATGCTGCGTCCATGTCAAGTTTTGTTGCGTATATGGAACCAAAACCCAGTCCAACAGCGGGTGACCTGGTCCACCAGCGACCCACATCCCCTTCAACAAACCTCCATTGTTAGCTCTTTGGTACAACAATGACTTCTCTAACACCTGATCATCCGGCATTGACCCGGGCCATCCAATGCACAAGTCAGTAAAAACCCCTTTCGGATTCACAACGGCTTGAATTGTAATGGAATACGAAGTCTTCTGGTTCCTCTCAGTATGCCTCTTATTGAAATAAGCAGCTACACTAATCTTAGGAGCTATAATCGGAATGTGAGTAGTATACATAGAGCCAACAACGTTTGGAATACCCGAAATCGATTCGAACCGTTCTCTAATGTTCCTAAGAGATTCATCATCTGGCCATTGAAGGTACTTAGGCATTAAAACATCTTTAATGGCTTTACATACCTCAAGAACAAGCTTGTGGCAAGTTGAGATTCCTAAACCAAACTTCTTGGAGACTAGACGAAGTGGCTCACCGGTAGCTAATCTCCATATACAAACCGCGACTCGCTGCCGCACTGGAATCGCGTTTCTCAACGCGGTGTCTTCTTTCGCAACCGCTGAATTAAGCTCATCGCAGATTAACTCAAACGTCGATTTCGACATTCTAAACGCTTTTTTGAAATCTTCCTCTGGATAATCCAATCGGCTACACTCTTCCCACCAAGCTCTGCTCCGATCTTTAACCCATAACCGCCTTTGCTGACCCGAACCGGTACCGCGAACCGAACCGGATCCGGTTATCTCACTGCTCTCCGCCTCAATCTCCGAAGCAGCAACAGCAACGGAAGCGACGGCGCGTGAGACGCGTGACTTCTTGAGATTGATATCTCCACTTTCCTCAGCATCAGCGTAGTAATCGTTGAGATCGGAGTAGTAATCGGACATAGTTCTCGCTCTTTTCCGGTAATTAGATTGAAAATCAGACATTTCACGGCGAGAAGCAGCGTTACGAGCTTCCTGGTCTTGCTTCTCATGCTCCTCCATCAAAAGCAAAGAAGTGAAAAATCCCTTGAGGTTTTTGGTCTCGTTGTTTCTCTTAGACTCTACCTCACCGCCGTCGAAAACATTACAGACTTCTTCTTCTTCTTCCTCCTCGTCTCCGTCTTCGTTCCGAAAAACGGCGGCTTTCATCGAAGTTGTGTTCTTTCACGTTTTGTTTATTGAATTTGGAGTGGAGGAGAAGGTTAATTTTTTTGAGGGTTCATAAATAAGAAATCTGAAGAAATTTTTGGGGATGAGAAGACGAAACTTGTGGGACGAGTGTGAACACGCAAGTTGACTTTACTAGAGAGCTATACTCTTTTTTTATTTTTTAATAAATTCTTGGTATTTATTACTCTTTTTTATTCTCGTTACATTTTTTAGTATTTTTTGGACAAAAATTTGGACAGCAGTACAGAAAAGCAGAACCTGTTTGATCCTTGTAATAGATTCGTATTTGGAAGCAAACTATTTGAAAACCTTTTTTTAAAAAATTAAACTATGTCGGAAAATATTAGGCTAAATATCGAATAATTTATTTGGATCATTATCATACTACTCTCTACCTGAATAAATTGGAATCTGAAAAGTTAAACAGGTGAATACTGAATACTAACTAATTTTGTATCTAATTCTTAGAATCGTGATCGTGAGCAAATCAAATTCTTAATTTGCTTGCTGCTTTTATTCAAAGCAATTTATTGGCTAACATTTACTGTTTTCTTGTCACTATTTTAAGCATGTCTATTTAAAAGTACAAACCTATCAATTTTAGTATGTTGTAGTTTTCTTAGAAACATTTCTTCTTATCTCAGAATGGTTAATTTGATTCGAATGCTAAGTTGCTAAGAATGTTTTGGCCGCACTCTTAACTTTCTCATTTTTCACAAAATCCAAATGATAGCGAGCAAAATGTTTAAGGTGAAGATTAGAATAACAAGAACAAAATTAGATATAAGAAAAATGAACTCGACTAATTAAATAGTTATAGATTTGAACTATTTATCGATGGAATAAACATAACATGCGAATGAAGTGAAGTGGTAAAATTTCAATAATAATCGGAAGATTTGGAGGCGAAACTCAAGACCAATTCCTAATTAAGTTAAGGTGAATATATTCAAAGATATGTAGATAGTAATATTGGAGAAGTTATGTTAAAAACTTAAAATGCAAATAGTTTGTGATACTTTTGTTGGCAAAATCCCATTTTGATACTTGATGTTGAGAGATGAACAAGACCTAGAACGATACACGTATGATTCTCTTTCTTAGTTAACCGGTTTGGGAAAATATGAGTTCAATTTCCACCACTCTTTTATTTTATTTTTTATCATTGTCAACATATTGTTATAAACGTTGTTTGTTATACACTTGTGGAGAGTGGGTGTTCACACACATATCATATATACGAACCCAATAATATTATTATAAAATAAGATCTCAAATGATTGTACCTAGAAACTGAAAGAAAGAAGTGTGAACACGTTAAGGAAGTATCGGACATTGTTTAGTCTAATGTATTTGGCGGTGTGGAACGTTAGGTGGCCGATGGTGACTTTTGGTCCCATGCTTTGTTTCTTTTTTCCTTTTCCTTTTTGTGTTTACTTGAGTTGCCAAATGAAGAAGGCATTTAGGGGATCTAGTAATAATATTTTTATAACTTACATTAGTGGCCTCTTTCATCCTCGCCTAGATTCATGTTTTTTTTTTTTGTTTAATCAGAAAATCAAAGGTCTAAATATAAACTAATTATTGAAATATACAACTAGAATAGTGTGAACTCACATTAATCCAAGCACGCAATACAAAAACTCACACTAGGGTGACTAGAGAATAGTTGGTTAACGAAAAAAGGTCTATGTTGCTTTTTTCAAAGGCTTCAAGTTTATTAGAAAAATTTTCGAATGAGAGGGCCAAGTTTGTATCATCAGTGTTTTTATAGAGATGATCAATCTAATTTAGGCATTAAACCATCATATCTGATCATTAAGAAAAAATGAATTGAGTGATATAAAAATTATAGTAGAATAGATCCAGTGAAGTTGAAATAAAACTTTGCAAGTATATATTTAGCTTAATGATAAAAATTAGTAGAAAATATATCCCTACATTTGACTTTTGAAGTACTTTGGATAAAGATACGTGAAAACAAAGAGAAGAGCTTTCAGGCCATCAGAAATTCACGAGAAGCAGCACAGCTGGTACAGTCATCTAGACAGAGGTCACACCGATATTCTAGCAAGAAAACCCGACAACGTAACAACTGGTTAGCAAGTTTGAATGGTTTAGCAAAAAGATAATAGTCCATAAAGTAGGCGACACAGAGTACAGAGGGCACAAAGACTGATTCTACGAAGACATTTCTTGCTTTTGATGAATGACTAAATCAATAAGATCATAGGAAAACATGATATAAACATTTAGAATGAGGTATATGAGAAATCTGATGAAACTAAGATGCAAATTTGATCTAAACGATAATGTGCATCGATAAGACTGAGATGTCAGATAATTTTACAAATGTAGTAGCTGAAGATTTTTTTTTTTTTTTTGACAGCAGTAGCTGAAGATTTATTTACATTGTCCGAGATAATTTTAAAAGAAATACAAGAATTGTTTGAACTAAAATCATAATAACAGCAAAATAAATCACTCATTTCCTTATCAAAACACTTTGGAAGCATAAAACTGAATATATATGTTAGAGTTCTTCCTGCAGATACTGTAATAAACTATTCCACTGAACAGACTCATAAATTACTGTAAGGGTCTAACTCCAAATGTATTTTTGTTTACTGTATAGGTAATGGTGAGCAAATTTGGATTAGATGGCTGGAATCAGCAGAAGAACAAAATTATCACCAAAAAAGATGAACATTAACAATAAGAAGTAAGTTATGCAAAACAGAGGAATGACCAATTAATTGGTCTTTTCTCAATCTGTCACTTGGTTATCCTTTTAGTCAAATGCAATTAGACAGTTTCAAAGTGAACCGTCACTGGTATACAATGTAGCCCAAGACGTAGTCATTAGTCATTTGTTTCAGATTATGTAAGCGAGTGATTAGTAAAATAGTTTCCTATCTTCGCATCTTGGTCAATAGACGTCTCCAGAACTTTTCTATGGAAGGTTCTTATAACAACTTCATTAATTTGAAGATCTAACATGGAGAATGAAAGAAACAGAACAAACTTTTATTTCATCTTAATTAGAACAGAACACCCATGTCTCTCACACATTCCGATTACATTCATCAAACCCAGAATTAAAAACAGATAATAACCAAAACACGATCACAAACAAACTCAAGCAACTTGAACTTGAATAGTCTTCGGTTTCTTTGGCTCAGGCGGAGGAAGTTTCTGAACAGTCACCTTCAAAACACCATCATGACAAACAGCAGAGATCTTGTCCAAATCAGCATTCTCAGGCAACTGAAACTTCCTCATAAACTTACCCATTCTTCTCTCCATCCTCACATACTTCACACCTTCGTTTTCTTTGTTCTCTCTCTGTCTCTCTCCACTCACCACAAGCACATTATCGTTCTCTACCTGAACCTTGATCTCATCTCCTTTGATTCCAGGCATGTCCACAACGAAAGCGTACGCGTTAGGGTGCTCGATGACGTCAGCTGGTGTAGCCGCCATTGCCTTAGCGTCTCGCATGTAAACTCTTGAAGGGTTGTTGCGGGTCTTCTCGTTGTGATCTTCAGGGACCTCGAGCATGTCTTCGAGGATTGAGATTATTGGAAACCTTCCCAAATCCATTGTTAGTTGTTGTTTTAGCTTTCTTGATTCTTTGATTCTTGGCTTTTTGTTTTCTATGATTGAGTTCGATGTGATGAAGTGTGGGATTTAAATAGGAGTGCGTTGGATATTTCTAGAGGAATGCAGAGAGAGCGACTGTTTCTATCTTTAGAAGTTCTTCCGTATTGTTCCAGAAACGTCTTGATCGTTCTGGTTTTTGTGAACTTTGTAATTCGATTTTGATAAATGTGGGCCTTTACTGACTTTATTATATTTATCTGGGCTTTTAAATTAGGAGTACCAAGGCCCATTCAGTTTTCGGAAATTTATGCTATAAGGGAAGGTCGTTAATCAACCAACCGGTTTGGTACGATTTCATTGAGTTTAGTGTGAATTGTTTAAGTAACACAAAATAAAGTTAAATGATTTTTGTTGTTGTAACATCTTCTATATTTATTACGAAGAATTTGAATTACAAAAATGAAGTTCATGATTATAAGAAGAATTTGAATTACAATTTTTCTTTTTCTTTATCAATAAATGCATAGCAAAACATTTAAAAATTTAAAACGAGGTATATAAGAAAATAGTTCATGATTCATAAGATTAGTGTTCAGCAAATAACAAAACAAATTTTGTGATAATGGAATCCGAACCATATTGCTGATTTTAAAGAATATGAGTACAACATGTACCTCAAGATCACAAGTTCAAAGTCTTAATGATGGAAACAAGACTAAATTAGTACATGCTCTGGTTTTTGGTCAGACAAAATTAAGAACTAATGATCCATAAACATTTTGGTAAACAAAGAAAAACATGTGGTAGCATTGACTCACTGTATACTACAAAATCGTGAATAATGGTATTAACATAAGCTATTTAAGAAGGTTACAAATCTGCACAAAACTTGATTTGTCTTATAAATTCGGTTGATGTTATTTGCATTCGTAAATGCAAATTTCATCGAGACAATAATGTGAATCTATAGAATTGAGATTGATTTCAATTCATATACTATAAATGTATAGTAGTTGAAGATTTAGTTACGTTACCCAACATTAACAAAGTACAAAGAGTTGTTTTGATTTTGAAAACATAATAAGAACAAAATAGAACAATTGTTTCCTTTATCTAAACGCTTTTTTTTTTTTTTTTTTTTTTTTTTTTTAACTCAAAGACATACTTTATTTATTAGAAAATACTAGGAACCATACATGGTTTCTCACGTTCCACCACTGGCTGAAGCCAAAATGGGGTACTGCAATCTAAAGAAGCAAAGTAAAGATTACAAGACATGGCAGCTTTTGCAAGCTGATCTGCACATATGTTGCCTTGTCTTCCAAAAAACCTAAAGGATGGTTGCAACAGTCCATTCCGAGGGCCTAGTATCTCACTAGTGTAGCTCTTCATTCTCGGCCAGTTGGAAGGATATTTGATCGCTTGGATGAGGGTTTGTGAATCGCTCTCAAAGAGAATCTCAGAAAAACCCAGATTATCCAGACATGACATAGCCCATAAAAGTGCAGCAGCTTCTGCATCCAAGGCTGAACGAAGTTTCGGGTACGTTTTTACCCCGTACCATCTTAGATTACCATGTTCATCTCTAAGTATCCATCCAACTCCACATTTATCTAAACGCTTACAAGTATAAAATTGAATATCTAAGAGTTCTTGCAGATATAGTTACACTATTTCAATGAACATATTCATAATTTACTTCAAGCCAAAAATGTATTTTGTTGACTGTAGAGGTAAGGGTACAGTGCAAATATGATAGAGTTTAGAGCTATAAACCCTATCCTTTAGCTCTCTGTACTTCTCTAATGCTCAACAATGGTGAATACAAAGAACCCTAATACCTAAGGACACCATGAACAGAGACGCAGCTCTGAATCTAACATCACAAATGATCACGCAGGATCTCTCTCTGTTTCCTCTCTATCTCTATTTATACTTCTCATGCTTCTCTTTAGTTCTTCACACGTGCCTAATTCTCCCACACGTGTGCAGTCTTATCAATTTGATGGCGAATGTGCTAAATAGCACCAAAGATATTCTGGGGAAATGATGAATCTGCAAAAACAGAGGAATGACCAATCGGTCTGCTTTTGGTTTATGTTCCTATTTGTGCCTCATAAGAATGGATGGTCAGAGAAGTTTGCACCAGAGATTCTTAGAAAAACTTCATTGATTTGAAGATCGAACAAAGACAAAGATAAACAGAGAAAAAACTTCTATTTTATCAAAAACAAAAAACTCTTATTTCATCTTACAACTAAAAACACACATAGATGTATAGATTGCCTCACTCCGATTACATTCATTAAAACGAGAACTAAAACACAAAACACGATCACAAACAAACTCAAGCGACTTGAACTTGTATAGTCTTTGGTTTCTTAGGCTCAGGAGGAGGAAGTTTCTGAACAGTCACTTTCAACACACCGTCATGACAAGTAGCAGAGATCTTGTCCAAATCCGCATTCTCAGGTAACTGAAACTTCCTCATAAACTTCCCCATCCTCCTCTCCATCCTCACAAACTTCACACCTTCGTTCTCTTTGCTCTCTCTCTGTCTTTTTCCACTCACCACAAGAACGTTCTCGCTCTCAATCTGAACCTGAATCTCATCTCCTTTGATTCCAGGCATGTCCACGACGAAAACATACGCGTCAGGGTGCTCAATGACGTCAGCTGGTGTAGCAGCCATTGCCTTTGCATCTCGCATGTAAGCTCTTGAAGGGTTGTTACGGGTCTTCTCGGTTTGTTCTTCAGGGACTTCGAGCATGTCTTCGAGGATTGAGAATATTGGAAACCTTCCAAAATCCATCTTTAGCTGTTGTGTTTGCTTTCTTGATTTCTTGATTTCTTGATTCTTGGCCTTTTTTTTTGGTTTGATTTGAGTTTGATGTGACAAAGTGTGGGATTTAAATAGGAGTGAAGTTTGGATATTTCTAGAGTAATGTAGAGAGAGCGATTGTTTCGGTGTTTAGAACTTCAGAAGCACTTCCTATTGTTCGAGAAACGTCTTGATCATTTGGATAAGCGTGGGATTTAAGTAATGAGTGGAGATGGATATTTCTAGAAGAATGTAGAGAAAAGTGATTGTTTCAGTCTGGCCCAAGGCCCATCTCTTTTCAGGCCCATCCTTAAGGAAATTAATTTATCCGTTAATGATTGATTATAACGGTTGAAACGCGTCAATTCGGTTAAAACGCAAACGCTGAGGCTTTTTGTGAGGAGTATCATTATCATCTACCTACCTGATCATCGGACTAAAGTGAAATGAAGTCAGCAATTTCATCGTCACTCTTCTTCAATTCCAAGAATCTTTTAAAACCTAATCCTCTTTCTCGCTTCTTCTCTCTCAAATCTAACTTCCTCCCTAAACTATCTCCGAGATCCATCACTAAATCTTCATCTTCGTCAACCTCAGCTTTAAGATCCATCTCCTCCTCAATGGCTTCTTCTTTCAAACCCGAACAAGCTAGAGTTCCATCTGCTCTTCCTCTCCCAGCTCCTCCGTTGACTAAAGTTAGCTCCTTTATTCAATTACCTTGGGGTTTTTGCTCATTTCAGCATTTGATTGATCTTTTTCGATTCATGGGTAATTTTGTAGTTCAACATCGGATTGTGTCAGCTATCTGTGACGGCTGACAAAAAGAGAAACATCTCTCACGCTAAAAAGGCCATTGAAGAAGCTGCTTCCAAAGGAGCTAAGCTTGTTCTCTTACCCGTCAGTTTTTTCTTCTTTTCTTAGCTTAAGCTTGTTCTCTAAGCATAGTGATATTGTCTCAATGGGGGTTTTAAAACCATTCAATGGATTTGTTTCAGGAGATTTGGAACAGTCCGTATTCCAATGATAGTTTTCCAGTTTATGCGGAGGACATTGATGCAGGTGGTGAGGCTTCTCCTTCAACGGCAATGCTTTCTGAAGTTTCTAAACGTCTCAAGATTACAATCATTGGTGGCTCTGTACCAGAAAGAGTTGGTGATCGTTTGTATAACACTTGCTGTGTCTTTGGTGCGGATGGAGAGCTCAAAGCTAAGCATCGGAAGGTTATATTTTTTTGAGATTTAAACTTTCATTTCAACCTTCCATAGAAGAAAGAATGAACTTTCCTCTGCTTTAGGCCATGGAATTAATAGATGCTAATCTCACTTCTATAATCTTTGTTCATCTTTTGTCATCAGTTTTCAGGATCTTTTAGGCTTAATCAGTAATTAGAATGATGTGTTAATTGTGTTCTTGATTGCTTGCTCTTAATTGTGTTTGTACTTGTGCCTACAGATACATTTATTTGATATAGACATTCCCGGGAAGATTACTTTTATGGAATCCAAAACTCTTACTGCTGGAGAGACACCAACAATCGTTGACACAGGTAATTATCTTGTTTTGCCAAATATCCTTGCCATGCTGTGCATAAACAATCATGTATCTTACATAAACTCATTGCCTAAAACATAATTGGAGTAGGATTAAGGAGTTAAATCTCCAATCAGATTTGGGATCTTCTTAGCTTAACAGTGAAATGATTCATTTTCATGTCGGCCTAGTGTTTATGAATGATCATGCAGAAGAGAACTTGTTCACCAATAATATTAATACGCTTTTAAGATCTTGCCAACTATTTTGACTGGGGAAATATCATTACTGAACAATCAGGTCATAGTAGAACCGTTCACATCACCTCCCACTTTCTAGTACTTATGAGAAATCTCTAACGCGGTGCAGCGCTTGAGAATGATAGTTTTGTTGGTTGTTGCAGATGTAGGGCGTATTGGAATAGGCATCTGTTATGATATCAGGTTCCAGGAGTTAGCTATGATATATGCTGCAAGAGGTGAGTCTTTATTGGTATAATGCTTTATCCAAATAGACTATTTGCTTCCTCTCTTTTTCGGGTCCATTATCGTTTTAAAGAACCTCATCACCCACATGTTTACTTTAATCATATCAGGGGCTCATTTGCTGTGCTACCCGGGGGCCTTTAACATGACAACTGGACCATTGCATTGGGAATTACTACAAAGGGCAAGGTGTGATTCACAGTCTGCTACATTACAACTTGTTTGGCTTATTTAATCATGGGTAAATCACAATGCATTGCTCATCGATCTGTTTTGTTCCATTTCAGGGCTACGGATAATCAGGTACATGAACCAAGTTAAAATACTTGTATTGATAGCCAAAAGAGAGATACAAGTTCTGGGACATTTCTTAATGAATTCATAGAAAACCTGCATTTCCCTTTGAGTTATCAATACAAGTATTATCTTCTGCTCTTTGGGAGTTTTACTGTATCGACTGTTATCAAAGTCATGGAGCAGTTAATAGAACTATGTATGCTACTTTCTCCAGTTATATGTGGCTACATGCTCACCTGCCAGAGATTCAGGAGCTGGCTACACTGCTTGGGGGCACTCAACACTCGTCGGGCCTGTATGCACTGAACTTTTTCTGTGTTACTTGATTGATAATGAAGCTTTTAGTTGAGCACTAAACTCTAAAACAGAAAATTATTTGACAGTTTGGAGAAATACTAGCGACGACTGAGCATGAGGAGGATATAATCATAGCAGAGATTGATTACTCTATCCTTGACCAACGAAGGTAATCACGAAAACACCAGAACTTTCCTGGTTTTTGATAGCATGATCCGCTAATTGAATCTCGTTTTTTACCATATTAGGACAAGCCTTCCATTGAATAAGCAGCGGCGGGGAGATCTTTACCAGCTTGTAGACGTACAGCGCTTAGACTCTAAATGAATGCAGCAGTAACTGTACATCTGAATTCTCTATTTATGAGAGATTGTGTGAGTTGAGCACTATTTGGTTACTTGCAACTTTATGGTCAGTCATTTCTCCACAACTTTGCTGAGATATGTATAAGAATAAAAACTCGAGCTTTGAGTTAAAAATCGAACAAAAACAAGTAAATTTTGCTTAGATAATGTGAACTACACCCACTTGCCATGTGTTGGTTGTTTATAAACTTCAATGCATACTGATCACAATGTAGACTTGTGATTCGCAATCAAAATAGCATTTGACTTTTGTCAAAGTGTATATTATTTGTGAATTTGTAAGTAAATGTCATTGTCTTTGTAAAACAACGCATATGTTCAGTCAACAACCATCATATTCAATCTCAAGTACTTACTTAAACTAAAAATGTAATAACTGGTTCTTCAAATGTTCATCTACTCAAAAAACGTTTCATGATTGATAACATGACTCTCAAGTCAAGCCAAAGATCTAACCAATGTGTTTTTTCGCTGCATCAAGATTTGTAATATGCAATGTAATTTGTACAGATAAGAAGAAGAAAAGAGTATAGAGTATTCAAATAGGTTCCTCCAACACCACAAGTGGATATAAAAGGATTGAAAATGAAATAACATAAAACTTTGTCAGCGGCCTCAACATGATGTGAAGATCCGTGGTTATTGTTGAATGATAAATGACCGGACGACAAAATGCAGTTACAACAGCAGAAGCCTTACAAGATTCACCACAGTGTGTAGTGGTTTCTTCTTTGGAGAAGACACGTGGCCCAATCCCCCATAGGGTAAAGAGTAAAGACGTAGAGTGGTCCATACTTCTCACAAGGACTCTGCGAAAGAAGGAATGCCGTACGCGTGTGGGAGGCCGCACGTGCTAGGGGCCCATATGGCCATGGGCTATGCTTCACGTGCCAGGTCACGTGTAGGACCAAACCTCACCACAGTTCGGTACCACCGCGTGAATCTTCTCTCTTTTTTGTGTCAGCTCTTATTGTCTCTCCCTGACCAGCTCAATCTCTGACTCGCCCGTGCGATATTATTTCCTTTTTTTTTTCTGTTTCTTGCTCATATCCCAATAACTCAAATAGTTGTATCCATTTTTAAGATTCATTTCCATTTTATATCATTTTGTAACTTTTTTTTTTTAATTCAACCTCACTTTAGCGAACATCACCTTATAAGTTTTATTGCTTTTACTTTATAGTTGATATGTTTTCTTAAACATGCAAATATAGTAATTAGCGTAATGTTTGTATGATGTGTAAATGATATATTATTATTATTATTATAGACATAGTATTTTAAACAAGGAAACACAAAGATTTTTGGTTTTCACAACAATCAAACAAGAAGTCATTTTTATGTAAGTTTCTGTTTTGTACTATATATCTTGTTTGTTTTCTTAAAACTGTTTTGTATTGTTATATTTAGGTAAAAGTATGGTCCAAACTAGAAACAATATTTACGGGGGGATTCTTCGAAACTGGATATGATAAGGAGATTTTTTTCTTTTTTTGTCATAAGATATGATAAGGAGATATCAAACGAAAAACATTGGCCGAAGTGTGACACAGATATAGAATAGACACACAAGAAGACATAAGTGTTTTTCATTAACAAAAAAGAAAAGAAAAAAGAAGACATAAGTGTTTATGAAATGAGGAACAATGAAGGAACAAGAAAGGAAGGAAGCATGTGAGACTGAAAAAGACGCAAAACAAGTACAATTCCTTAACCCGTCCTTGTCGACCCAACTAATGGGCAATGCGGTGTATAAGAGACACTTTGCTTATATTTAAACATAACAATCGTTTGATTAATTAAGACCCTACTTGTTTCTAATCACATCCTACGCTCGAGATCTGTCTAAACTATATGAGACAATCCGTTATGATATGGCTACATCAAGAATTCGGCGAATCGTTATGTTGATGTTATTTTTCTTAAAATAGATGATTTTGTTTCATTGATCCAATGCGATTTTCTTAGAGTAATCTAGTGCCTTTTTTAAAAGATGAAATTAATGTTCTATTATTTCTGTCTATGGCGTATTGTGTAAATCATTCATCTTCAATTGTGTCCAATTTACGTATTTTAATGATTACTTCATCATAAAGAATCAAGAAACAACTTCTGAGATACATTATATAGGAAAATGTTGAGATATATATAATCTACATAAAATCATTAGTTTCTCACATTATAAGGAAAATGACATATAAATTGGACAACATATTATTAGGTACATGCACACATAAACAAAATTGAAGAATCCTCTTGCGTGGTCCATCATCGATATGGTCAGCATCAGCATACGTGAACAACACGCGCCGAGATCGCAGCTTATATATAAGTCCTCTCTCGTCCTCTCTTCTATCTTCATTCGTCGTCTTCTTCAAAAAAACACAAAACACAAAACAGTTAAAGAGACATAATCTCTCTTTTTCTTCTTTTGTCTCTTCTTCTCTCATTCTTCTTTAATCCTCTTTATCGATCAAATCATGCATAAATCCAAAAGAAACCCGTCATTCTCCTCCACTCTCCTCGATGAAATCTACAATTCCATCGATCCTAAAACCCAAAAAACACAATCTTTTGTCGGTTCTGTTAACACTACTACCAAAAAACAGAGCATTGTCACAAGATCGGTTCCTGACCGGAAAATCCACCGTGATCGTTTCTTTGGCTCTGTATCTTCTTCCTCTGATTCCAACTCTAGTATTTTCTCATCTTCCGACACCGAACTAACTCACGGTAAGAAGACAACTTCTTCTAGGCCGTTATGTTTCGGTCCTTCTAAGACAAAACCAAGAAAAACAGAGGACAAAACTCTGTTTCACCAAAACAGAGCAACCCGAGTATACGACGACTACAATTACGCCTCTGACGTCCCCAAATTCACGAGACACGAAGAGAATTGGGAGAATCCGAGAAACAGAAGATCAGTGAAGAGCTCTGCAAACCAAAAGAAGCCAAAAACTCCAGCTTCACCAGGAGGACGAATCGTTAACTTCATAAATTCGTTGTTTAGCACCAATTCAAAACAATCCAATGCCGTTAAGAGTTATCCAAGGAAGACGAGTTACGACGATTCTGCTTTCGTTAGGAAAACAAGTAATGATTATCATTCATCTACTACTACGTGTTCTTCAGCTTCTTCTTTCTCAAGGTCTTGTATGAACAAAGGCTACGAGAAATCATCTGATCGTATCAAACGAAGCGTTAGGTTTTCTCCGGTCAATGTTATCGTCCCCGAGAGCTTTACAAGCAAAGAAGAAGATTATTTCAGTAACGGTAACAGTAGGAAGTCGGTGAAGAAGAATGTGGAAGATGGAGGGAGGAGGTCAGTGGAGGAAATAGCGAGAGAGTTTTTGAGAGATTATCACAAGAATCATGAAAACAGTTTGGTCAAGAATAATGGTTTTGAGGATTATGAAGATGATGATGAAGACGATGATGATGATGATGTTGCAAGTGATTCGAGTTCGGATTTGTTTGAGCTGGATTTAGTTGGAAATCATCATCATAATGTGTACGGAGATGAACTTCCTGTGTATGAAACCACTTTTGCTGGTTTGATCTTGTGAAACTTTTTCTCTTTTTTTTTGTTTTTACTTTAGATTTTCGTTTAATAAGTTTTATTAATCCATGTGATTGTTGAAAAAAGAAAAAGAAATCGCATGTGATTCTCTACGTTTGTGTTTGATTTTGTAACTATGTTGTGTTATAAATTTTGTGTTTGTAAAAATTTGATCCAATCATGTTCTATTTATTATTATTTTTTTAATACTTAAAAACATTAACTATTACCAAACAAAGTTTAATAAAAATGTATTATACAGTTAACACATCCAAAAAAAAAACTTTTGTTAAAAACAGTTACACTAATTCTAAGCACAAATTGAATGTTCAATGTAAAGCATATATGTTATAGGTGAACAGAAAATAATGTTTAACACAAACCCAAAGGCTAGATGCAAGCGTAAGCACAAAAACAAAAGAGTGAAGACTAAACAAAAGCTCTTAATAAAATCCGCAAACATAAATATATGTAGGTTTTCAAAGCTAAAACGCAAAACACAAAAGTATTTTTCTTACAATCAAAATGAAATTTCTTATCAAATGTATTTTTTTTTACTCATGTACTATTTTAGACTCAAGCAACTACTCTTGCAACTTAACTATTTGATTCGTGATTTCTTTAAATGCAAATTATCAGTATTTAAACAAATAGAGCATATAGAGATTTTTGAAAATAATGATGTTGAGAAGGATCCGATCCGTGCAAAGTAAAATGATTTGCGGAAGATAATTTGATATAAAGTGGTTGATGATCCCAAAGGAAAAAAACCCAAGCTACCAACCTTTCTCTTTTTCTATGTATCTATCACATGCTTTAGATCCAAATTTTCATGAATGCTAACACTTTTTCAATATAATTTGAGTTTTTCATTTCTTTATACATTTAATATTAAGAAAAGCTCATAATTTTTTTTGATTAAGGCTTGTACGGTGAAATGGAAATTAATTAGGGCAACACAGCCACAAAATCAACTATACTTGGTCACAATTCACAAATATGATGTGCATATAGCAGCAAAACAGTGTTTCAAAAATCATATTCTTTGTCCAATAAATTGAAAAACACGCTACTACATTGGTCCAGCAAGTATTTCATGTAGAATGTACGTTTGTCTCGCTTTTCTTGAAAAAAAAACTATCTTTAAAATATATATGTGAAACTGTTTTGATATTTTTACATGCATATGTATATGTGAAAGTAACACATGTATGTTGTATATATCTTATAATATAATAAAGCGTGTTAAGTAATAAAACATCGAATCGATGATATGTGAAAGTGTTTTGTTGTGTATAAAAAGAAAAGAAAGATGGGAAATCGAGAAATTCGATATCCAAATGAGAAGCAAAGGGTGATTGATGAGGATCGTGAATTGACACATTAAAGCTTAATAAAATCGAAAATAAATTTAAAAAGAAAAAGGGTAATTTTAAAATAAAGTGAAAGTAGTATTTGTAGCGATGGATGAACATGAAGTACTGATGCTTCCATGGGAACAGAGAAAGTCGAGAGCTTTTGCTTTACTTCTCTTTTTCACTTTGATCATCTTTAAAAGTTCCGATTACAATCTTCTCCATTACTTCTCGACAATAAAAACTAATTTACATAAAACAAATACTTATTACACGGACGGTCTCACGTACACATGACCCGTTTTCAGTTCTATGTCAAGTCATTTTGATTTTTTTTTTTTTTTTTTCAATTGCTGGAGGTTGATACCTTTTAGTTTAAATATTGCTTTGCAATGTTAGCTTAATCATTTAGTTTTGATTCTAGAGGATATTTTGCTTATATCAAACTAAAGTGTATTATCTTAGATTTGAAAACTTTGCTGGTGTGAGGAAGTTTTAAATAAGGGTAATTTTATAGCTATAACCAGACTTCTAATACATGCCTCTTTATAGAATATAGACGAACAATTCAATATTCATACCCTCAAAGGCCCAAAGCATGGATGTCTATTTATCTTTAATAGTACCTAATTTGCTTGCTCCTGTTAACATTCCTTGACTTATAATTGCTGTAAATTTATAATTGAGATTAATATTGTAAGAGGAGACTTATCAAAATAAATAGTTATATGGTTGCTTTTTATATCATCACAAATGCTGCTTTTTCCATATTCAACTAGTTAAACTTAAACAAAATGAATAGTTCGATGAATATATATCATTGCGTATTTCTATTCAATAATGCGGCGGATTAAATTATTCCGCCAAGAAAGCTTATTGCCTGTTACCAAAACCAACAACTTAAGTATATTTAACGAAGTAAATGATTTAATCAAAGATCGTGCCATGTATTTGCACACAACAATACTCCCTCAAACTCCTAATGATTGCACATAATACGTAATGAGTTTAAGTAAATTATGTTGTATTAAGATCATTGGATGAGGGATATGCTAATAATACACAGATACACATATTGCATAGGTTTCACATGTGACATGTCGGGGATGTAACCGTTCTTGTTTTTTTTTTTTAAATTTGAATTTCTCTGATATATAAGTTACTACCAACTTTTATTGAAAGCTGATTGTTTAGTTTGGTCAATTGTGGCAATTAAAATATAGTGCATGGTAGGTTGGTTAGAATCTATAGCTCGTTAATCTAAAGTATATACATCTTTGATTAATTATGAGTTTGTTGTTTTGGATCGAACAACCTTATATTTAAATAGAGTAATTAAATGCGGAGCTAATAATGTTCGATAAGTGAATAGCACGATATGGTTTGGTAGGACCAAAACGAAGTATCCCTTTAGCATGTAAATGAAGTCAAAAGATAACATTATTACTTTCTACTAACTTGCTACGTAATCAGTAATCAGTAATCACGTAAACTAGCAGTTTTCTGGACACTTAAATCAGAATCATATTACCGAAGGGGAGGAAAACCTAAAACGCCAAACTACCGAATAAATTGTGTGGCCCAATGGGCTCATAATAATGCTATAAGATTTTGCATGGCCCAGAGATGCACTCATTCCTAATAATGTCTCCAGCTGCTGTATCGCCGCCCCCGTTAGTTCTAATTTTCTTTTGTTTCTCGAAAAAAGTTAGTTTTAATATTTTTTGTGTTTGAAAATACCGTGAAAATTAGTCAATTATTTTAGTGACATTTGATGTTGGTATGATTGACTAACGTTAAAGTATTCAAATTTGTATGTTAGTTTTAACAGTTTTAATATATTACTGTACCTAGCGTCGGTTTTCGAAAGTGACTTAAACATCAAGTCAAAATTCTTAACGTGACCTTATTAAGTAAATGACGTTATTATATTTAAGCTAGTTCTAAACTGATGTTAGACTCAATAAAAACAGACGTAAATCCCTTCTTTTTTGTAGAATGATGTCATTATGTGACTATATACGATGTTGCCGATCAAAACCAAAGTCTTAATTGGTTTTATACAGCCAATAACACTTTCTTCATTGCAAAAATTCCGAAGATGCCTTATCAGTTATTTCCTTTAGCTTAGCAAAAATTTGATACAAATCTCAATTTACGAGATTACTGCAGGTCGTTGGTCAATTTAGTTTCTTTTAATTTAGCACATTACCGTACAATGTTTTTTCTCTTCGTAAATCGAATTCGAAGGTTTCTTCTTTGTGTAGTTCATACTAAAAGCCATACAACAACAGTTTAAAATATATATATTTGAATTGTTGCAAGTAAACAAACAAACTAATTTTATTCTTATAGCTAGATTTCTTGGCAACACAACAAAATTATGATCTTGGATTTCCATTCCAGTCATAACATATATCAAATGCATGATGATTTTCATTAAACCTGCATGGCCCATCTATGCTTATATCCCAGATACAATAGATGCATGGAATACCCCTACGAACACCATCTCTGTCATCATCGTAAATGTTAAACCTTTTTGATTGTCCAGGCCATGTGAAATGACAAGAGAAAATTGTCGATCCAGCAATAATAGTTGGTCTAAATGTAAACGACCAAGAGCTATTCGGAGCGAGGATTTTGAGGCCAAGATCGTCATCTGAGGACTTGCAATGAAGGTTTAAGGTCGAACCATCACCAAGGCGGTTTGTGATCCTCACCATTGTTTTTATAGTAGACCAATTAACATCAAAATCGGTTTTCACTTGTGAGAAAGCTATTTGGATGAGTAGAGATATTACCACCACATGAACTTGTGTTTTTAGCATGGTTGTCATTTTCATTTTATAAGATCAAAAAGTGTTTTCTACTGAATACTTTTTGTTTTGATTTGCATTAGTATATATAGGCGAATTCTTCGCTGAGATCGTCCATGACGTTATTAGATTTGTTTCCAAAATGGTTAACCTTGACTACATTGTACATTGAAACAAAATTAAGGAAACTTTTGACTAGAATATCAAGATTTATTCATTATTGTTACAAAAAAAAATGGGAGACTCACAAAAATGCCCCTTTTTCAATACCCCTTTTCAAAAATGCCCCATTTGGCTGTCCATTTTTAAAAATACCCCTTTTAATATACAAAATGACTAAATTACCCTTCTTTTAATAAAAGATATCACAAATATATAAAGAAATATAACAAAATTAGGTCCACAAAATACAAAATATTTTTTGGCGGAAAAAGTGATCCCGCAATTTTTCCCGCCAAAACACTTGTAAAAACTTGTAAAACCTTTAAAATACCTTGTAAAATTTTCCCGTAAAATTTTTTCCCGCCAAAAAATTTTTTTTGCGGGAAAAGTGATTCCGCAATTTTTTTGGCGTTACATTTTTGGCGGGAAAATTTTTGGCGGGAAAAATTTACAAGGTATTTTAAAGGTTTTTTACAGGGTATTTATAAGGTTTTACAATGTATTTTAAAAGGTTTTACAACGTATTTATAAGGTATTTATAAGATATTATAAGATTTTACAAGCTATTTTATAAGGTTTTACAAGTTATAAGATTTTACAAGTTATAAATACCTTATAAAACCTTATAAGTACCTTGTAAAACCTTTTAAAATACATTGTAAAACCTTACAAAACACTTGTAAATACTCTGTAAAACCTTTAAAATACCTTGTAAATTTTTCCCGCCAAAAAAATTGCGGAATCACTTTTCCCGCAAAAATATTTTTTTGGCGGGAAAAATTTTTACGGGAAAATTTTACAAGGTATTTTAAAGGTTTTTACAAGTGTTTTAGCGGGAAAATTGCGGGATCACTTTTCCCGCCAAAAAATATTTTGTATTTTGTGGACCTAATTTTGTTTCAAATAAGGGTAAAATGGTCATTAAAAATTAAAAGAGGGCAAACTTAAAAATGGACTCTCAAAGAGGGCATTTTTGAAAAGGGGTATTGAAAAAGGGGCATTTTTAACAATTTCTCAAAAAAAATTCTTAGATCTTGAACAGAATATTAAATTAATCTTTTTGTATCTTCAAGGAGTTAATTGTTAGTTATAAAACATCTATAAGTTAATTATGTTGGAATCATAATATTTTATTAATTTTAAGTGGTATTAATTTATCTATTAATTAATATTTTTAATATATAACATAAATTAATATTTATTAATATTTTTTTACACTATAATTTTTTAAAAAGATGAATTTGAGATAATTTTATCTAATTAAAATTATTGTTTTGGATACTAGACATTTCGTATTTTTGAACTTAAAATTTTAATATTTAGAAGAAAAAAACTTTTTCGACAATAAATTACAAAGATTTTAGATGAATTCACTTATATAAACGATATCAGTAAATTAAACTTTATAATTAATGACCTCAGTTATTGTATTTAAACAGATATACGACTATCGAAATGAAATGATATTCGTACAACACTATAATTTAAAATACAACATAACAATTGTTTTATATAAAAAAAAGTTAGAGATGAGCTCTAAAGTAAATTGAATTTAATAAAAAAACACTAAAAACATACATTATTTAACAGCTTATATATATATATATATATATATATATACACACATTTATGATACCTTATTAAGTAAGTGACGTTATTATATTTAAGTCAGTTCTAATGATGTTAGACTTAATTAAAACTGACGTTTAATCACTTCTATTTTGTAGAATGATGTCATTACGATGCTACCCGATCAAAAGCTAAGTCTTAATTGGTTTTATAACCATACACCCGGCCCAAGGTAAATTGCTGCCTAAAGCAAAAAAAAAATTTGGTCCATCTTTATACATAATTAAAACAAAATTTATATACATAGTACACTAAAAGGACTCGAACTCAGCATCTTTGATGAGAGAATGGAGGAATTAACCACTGTACCACAATAAATGTTTGTAAAATGATGCCCCTAAATTCTTTTATAGACATTTGATGCCTAAAGCCCATGCTTTACGGGCTTTAGCCTTGGGCCGGCCCTGAGCCAATAACACTTTCTTCAATTTAGTTTCCCTTTAACTTAGCAAAAAATTGATACAAATCTCAATTTACGAAACTACAGGTCGTTGGTCAATTTAGTTTCCTTTAATTTAGCACAGTATACCATACAATGTTCTTTCTCATCGTAAATCGAATTTGAAGGTTTGTTGTTTGTGTATAGTTCATACTAAAAGTCATACAACAACAGTTGAAAACAAACAAACAAACAAACGAATTTCATTCTTATCGTTTTCTTGGCAACACAACAAATTATGATCTTCGATTTCCATTCCAGTCATAACAAATATTAAATGCATTATCTCTTTCACTAAACCTGCATGGCCCATATTTGCTTATATCCCAGATACAGTAGATGCATGGAATACCCTTACGAACACCATCTCTATCATCATCGTAAATGTTAAACCATTTTGATTGTCCAGGCCATGTGAAATGACAAGAGAAAAGTGTCACTCCAAAAATAATATTTGGTCTAAACTTAAACGACCAAGAACCATTCGGAGCGAGGATTTTGAGGCCAAGATCGTCATCTGAGGACTTACAATGAAGGTTTAAGCTCGAACCATCACCAAGGCGGTTTGTGATCCTCACCATTGATTTTATAGTAGACCAATTAAGATCATAATCGTTTTTCACTTGTGATGAGAAAGCTATTTGGATGAGTAGAGATATTATCACCACATGAACTTGTGTTTTTAGGATAATATTGCTTGTCATTTTCTTTTAAGATCGAAAGTGTTTTCTACTTTTGTTTTTGATTTGCATTAGTATATATAAGAAGTCTTAGATGAGAATGCCCATGACGTTATTAGATTTAATTTGTTTCCAAAATGGTTGACTACATTGTATTGAAACAATATTAAGAAAAGTTATAACGATGATGGTAGAATGTCAATATTTATCCACTGTTAGAAAGAATACTATTTTTAAATTGGGCTATTGTTAGCTCTTGAACAGAATTTTAGATTAATCTTCTTGTATCTTTAAAGAGTTGTTAATTAGTTACATTTAGAAGGTATAAAAGGGCCTTAATCCACCATGCTTCGGATACAAGAATATTAATCTAATTTTGTTTAACATCTACAATTAGCTCATAACTTTTGATAAAAAATGTATACATATTGATATTCTTACCATAGTTATTGCGACGGATTTATTTTGTTCAAATATAAAGTTTACAACAACTTAACAGACTTTTTTCTTATTTTGTAACAAAATCGTAGAGCATAGCGTAATATAAATTGATTTCATCTTCTACTCTAAAAGCCTAAAACAAAACAGAACCGCAAAGTTTGGTAATAAAATCTTAAAGTAACGGTTTAGAAAAAACACCAAACCGGTTATAAATTGGTTCTCAATTCTTCTTGGTGAGATTAACTTCTTGAGGAAGGAGAGTGTAGTCGATGTGAAGGTCCTCCAAGATTCTCTTAATGTTCAAAACAAGTTCGGTTCTTCTGAGATTCCTCTCTCTGTTTTCCTGAAACGTGATGGTGTGGTCACTGTATAGGGCCATCTTCAGCTTGTTCATGTTCTCTATCTCCTTCACCACCACCGTGTGAACCGGTGCCCAATGCTGCGGGTTCTGCTCCAAGTACCTGATCCACAAACCCAAGAATCTCATTCAAAGACAAGATCTTTTGGATCAGTGGTTAAGAAAACAGTTTCACATGATTCAAGGTACTTACTCGGCGATTCTTTCTTTGAGATGTGCGATCTTAGAGACTGGTGTTGAGAATGAGATAGAGAATTCCACTGTTTCTCCCATATCCGGACTTCTGAAGTAATTGCTTATCGGTTTCGTGGCCAAAACAGCGTTCGGATAATACACTTTCTCGTTGTTAAGCTTCAAGAACACCGTCGTTAACAGATTCATTTCTTCAACCAGCATCTGAAAAACCCCGCAAGAATGTGTTTGTATAGAGTATAAAAACATATGATATATGAGTTTAAAGGATCTTTGATGTTGAAGTTTACCGTGACACCGTCCACAACACATCGATCGCCAACATCATAAGGATGCATGACGAATACGAACACAATGGATTCAAAGAGATTTTTGCAAGTGCTTCCGATTATAAAAGCCAGAGCCACGAGTTGGGTGGAGAAGAACAACAAAACCTTAGTCGTTGCTAATTCTAGAAGCAGTAGCCAAATCACAACGGTAATCACAACCAAGATTGCTGTCACAAGTTTGTTTAACTGCTTAACCGCTGTTTTTGTGTCATTTAACGAATGCGCTAAAGCTCTCCGGCTCGTGTACACTTTAACCTGATCAAATTGAACCACAACACAAGTCGTTAAATTCAACAAAACACAGACTCTCATTAGTAAAATCACAAAAATAATATTCTTGAAAACTGAGGAGACTTACCACCCATTCTGTGAAAGCTTTTCTTGTGATTTTCCCGGTCTCGGCAGCACCATCAAACAATGGGAACACAAGATCAACCTCTTCCTTAATCATGAACCTAAGTAAGTCCTCTTCCTCTATGTAACTGAAAAATTTACCAAACCCCAGATTTCCATTAGAGAATGCACATAAACAAGAGAAGGAAAAAAAAAGAAGAAGAAGAGCAAATCAATATTGTTTTCTTACTTGAAGAAAGGCTGAGCAACATTCCTGAATACATGGTAAGCAGCAGCCAAAGCCTCCATCTCACTAGTAATTTCTCTATCAGCTTGCTCTTTCCCCTCGCCGTATGTTGTTTCGTCCAATGTGTCAGAGATTGTAGAGAGACCTGAAGTTCTAACAGCTTCTACCAAAACCCGCATTGTCCAAGCAGAAACTTTCTCTCGCTTCATCTTATGAACTTTCCCCATATCAATCACTTTCTTCTCTTTAACCGTTCCTTTTTTCACTACACTAGCAAAACTCAAATGGCCGGTGCTTGGCTCACGCCCGACCCTTTCTGCCTCTTCGATAAGTGGAGGACCCGAGAGCGTTTGTAGAACGTACTGGTGGAAAACAGAATCTTGAATCCTGTCGAAAAAGTTATTGACGTTGAAATTTGCTGCAAGGATTTTCAACAACAATGTTTTCACCAGCCAAAGGAATGACCCGGTAAGAACGGAGATAAGAGTCCTGGTTATGACGTTGAGGATTTTTGTAGCTGCCTGGGACCGTTTCACATCGCGGTTGAACAACAATATCCAAGCAACAAGAATCAAGCAGAGCCATATGAAGACTTGGACGCTCTTCTTCAAGCCGTGCACAAAGTAGAGCACTTTTCTCCTCAAAAGAAAGTTTGTTTCTATGAGGAACACAATCAAACGCATGAACCAATTGGTCACCAACATTCCACTGAATATAACCATCACAAGCACACACCATTTCCAGATTTCTAGTCCCCATAAGGTATGATTTTTAAGGACATCAACGGTTAAACTCGCAACCAAAGCGCTCAAATTCACCACAAAGAAAGCTGCCTCTATCAAAGCCAATGTACTTATCTTACTGCGCATCTCTTTGTTCAGCTTAACCTTCTTGTAGATTTCCTCATCTTCATCTTTCTCCACAACGGCTTTACTTGGTGTTAACGGTGCTGTTGACCCAACACTCCTATTCGATTTGTTATTCGGAGAAGCTCTACTAAAAGAAAAACCAGCACCAAGTTGCTCCCTAACTTCCTCCTCTAGAACAGTTGTGTCTACAGGACAAGATGGATCCACAAACCGGGACTTGGGTTTGGAGTAAACCGACCTTGCAAAAGATTTCCTCTGAGTTAAACCCTCATTGTTCCGATTTGGAGCTCTAGGAGGCTTGTTAGGACTACCAACAAGCTTAGAGATTTCAGGAGAAGGGCTTTTACTGATGGGCACTCCTTTCTCAGACTCTGGTGAAGCCATTTCCATGGAACGCTTTGATGCTTCCTCACCAGAAACATTGATAACAACTTCTCCTCCTCCTCCGTTACTACTCTTTTGTTCTGCCATTTCAATGCTACTAGCGTCCAATTTCACAACAATGGCTCTGAAAAATTCCACAAAAACAAGATTAAGAACACAGTGGGGATGATAAAGTACCAATCTTTTTAGCTTGATTGAGATAAAGTAATAAGATTCTGATTCATCAGACAAAAAGGGTTTGAGAAACTTTAGTTTAGTAAAGTAAACAAAGTGGAATATAAACCCTAGATTCCTTGAGCATAGATTTGTAACAAAGCAAATAGATTTACACAGGAAGGTTTGTAACAGATACCATTCTTTAATTCTACTAAATCTGTAAGAAAGATCCAAACTTTCCAAATAAAGTAATCCGAACTTCTCCAGAAAGGAACCTAATTAAAAATTACAGTCAAAAGAGGGAGAAAACGAGCTTACCAGTAGTGAAAAATCCCAAAAACAACTTCTTCTTATGTGAGTATCAGCTCATTCTTGAAGAAGAAGACCTGAAATATAGCCAAAAAAAAAACAGAGATCTTAGGAGATAGTAGTACACACCACGACCACTTAAGAATCATGAAAAATGGAAGAATTCAAACATTTGATAAATGATAAAGAAGAATGATAATACCAATAGCAAAAAAAAAGTAGCAGCTAATAACAGAGGCGGTGGGGAAAAAGTGCCTGAGAAAAATGGCTTAAACCCTGAAGCCAACAACAACCTTAAGCCAAATATATAGAAAACAAAACATGGAAAGAGGAAATAAAAGATCTTACATGAGCAAAGAAACATTAAGAGATGTCAAGACTTTTAAAGCCAAAAATAATAATTGGGAAATGTAATTGACATACTTTTTTTAATTGAAGATGGCTTGATGGTGGAGTAGTTTAGTTTAGTCGATCTTTTAAAATTTCAAAATTATTAGAATAATTGCTAAACATTTACCTTTTCTCGTCAACAGAAAGATTAGTAGTACTAATTTTATATTAGTAAGTTGGATATAAATATGAAACAAAATGTATTGGGGAAAATGTTCACACAAAACGTGGTTATTAAAAAATCGGTAATTAACTCCTAAGTATGTACTATCTGACAAAAAACACTGTCTGTCCTAAAATGTTGTACAATTTTTTGTTAAAAAACAAACTGGGTATACTACTATACTTACATCCAAATTTTCAAATTTGAAAATTTAAATGTACACGAAATCCAATTAAGTTCAGATACCAGTGCAAAATGAATCAAATATAAAATCAGTTAAGTGGATTGCTAAACGAAAAAAATTAAAACATGTTAAAATTTGAAATACATTTGTTTTTGGGTTAAACACGTAACACAGAGAAAATGATGTTTCGTTTGACTAGTGACCACTGACCATACCACTCTCTGTCTCCATCGATTCCATTATGTTTATGTCGTTTGCCTTTTTTTTCAACTCCATAATGTCTCGTTGCTAAAACAATCTGTGTTTTTAATCATTCCGTTAATTAATAATGCCTGAGCATGTTTGGCATGTCTAACTGGTGATTGGTCAGCTCTCTCTTGTCATGGATTTAACAATTGTCCACAGTCCATTACATTATTTTGTTCTTTTCTTATTTTTTCTCTTTCTTTTTTTGGTTAGAAAACTTCTTAATTACAATAAAATTGTCTTAAATGCTATTTATTGTCACTCGTTACCTAATTACAATAATCTTACCATGATTTGCACAATGGCTGATTATTAATATCCCTCGTTGCAATGTGCAAAAAAAGAAGAATCCAACGGACAAGATTTACTTTAAACGGTAGAGGCAATATAGAGGACTAGATTCTGACCGTTGGATCTATCGCAGCATTGTTTTTCGAGAGTTGTAACTAGAGATAAAGAAAAAAGGAAATGTTAAGAAAGAAAAAAAAAAGAAAAAAAAAAGAAGAAAATTGCGGACAAAAAAAATGGAAATTGCAGCAAGAGAGAAAAATAAATAAATTTGCCGACTTGAACTATTAAACCCAACCAATAAAAGTTTCCATTTTTTTTCCTCGTTCGCTGCAATTTCCTTTTTTCTTTATATCTCGTTACGATCTCCTGCGATAGATCCAACGTTCAAGAATAGTTTCCATTTTTTTAGTACAGACTCAACGTTAAAAAACCCAAGTAAGTCAGACTTGAACCCTACTATAACTCTATAAATATTTCATGTTTCTTCTCTCCTTCACTACAATTTCTTTTTTTCGTCTATTGCTGCAATTTTCTCTAAGCTTGTAACTCAGTTCGAATCTGAAGAAACCATGGAGCAAAGTTCTGTTGTTGCAAAGATGCAATCAAACGAAGAGTTCGTCAAATTCTTAGGAAAAGGTGCTTATGGTACTGTTGATCTCATCAAATACACTAAAACTGATGGATCTTCGTTTCTGGCCGCTGTAAAAACATCTTACGCTGAAATACTCGAAGATTACAACGCTCTCAACAGAGAGATTCAGGTTTTGTCTGAACTCAAAGGATATCCCAACATCGTTATATGCTATGAAGACGATTTGGAAGAAGGTTACAACGATCACGGACATAAAGTTTACAAGTTGCTTCTCGAGTACGCAAACGAAGGAAGTTTAAGTTCTTTCATGGAAAATTATACCGACAAAAAGTTACCGGATCTGATGATCAGAGACTTCACGCGTATGATTCTCGAAGGACTGGTCTCAATTCATAGTCACGGTTATGTTCATTGCGATCTCAAATCCGATAACCTTCTTATCTTCTCTCGGAAAGATTCTTCTTCGTACGAGTTAAAGATTTCTGATTTTGGAAACTGTAGAGAAGTCGGAGAAGTTCCGGATCACTGGGAAATTGATTTTCCGTTTGTGGGAACGCCTATTTACATGCCGCCTGAGTCTCTCATCGACGGTGCTGTCAAAAAAACCCTAGATTTGTGGTCGTTAGGGTGCTTAGTGTTGGAGATGTATACAGGCGAAAAGCCATGGGCAGGGGTTGGAATTGTCGATCTCGTGAATTTTCTCAGTGATGGTGAAGCTCCAGAGATTCCTGAGTGTGTGCCTTGTGATGCAAGAGAGTTCATTGAAACGTGTTTCGCAAGGGAACATGAGAAGAGAGGAAACGCGTCTGAGTTGTTGTTTCATCGGTTTTTGTGTCCTGAAGAGAAGACGGAGAAGATTGTTGTAGTCGTCGCTAAAGAGAAAAAAACCTTGCTGGTGAAGTTGAAGTTGAGAATCAAACGAGCTTCGAAGATAACAATGGATATTCGAGAGAAGCCCTTGAAATTGAAGATGTTTCCATCTAAGCCTCCACAGCTTAAGAAACTTTTGAGTAAACTCTTGAGGTTGAAGAAGATGATTCATCCAAAACAATTGGATTCTAGTTTAGTCTCTTTAAGTAGTGATCTCTGTTTAGTTTAAGTGTGTAGATCACAAGTTACATGTTTATGCAAATAACCCATCCCTATCAATCTGTAATTTACGATATTAACTGTTGAGTTTTGTTTTGCTTTGAAGTTTTTTGTTTGGATAATTACGTATTTACATCTTTAACTAGGTTTCACTGTGTGTTGTATACTTGTATATGCGATCCAATGTGCTTTGAATCGTTAAATTGATATGACGGTGAAATTTGATTTAGTTTACTCTCTCATTAGTGCATAAGCCAAACGTGACATTGACAGCACAGTAACCCCATACATACATGGCAGAGAGAACATTGCAATAGTGTGACAACAAGAAATCAAAAATGTATTAAGTTTCCTTAAACTTAATTAAACATAATCGAGCAATGAATTTTTGTAATTAATTTCAAAATTTCATTAATTTTCCGAATATTTTTATTTTAAGGTTTCGTTAAGATTTTGGGTGTCTTCCACTTTTGCCGAGCGTCTCCGACAGCTTCAACGATGGTGACTCGCTTAAGACTCGTTTCGAGATCTTCTCGTTACGCCACCGTCAAGCTCACTGAGTCTGTCTCAGCATCATGCTCATGTCGTCTCTTCTCTGCCTCCACCGACACCGAACCCGAATCTCAACCCGAACAATCCCCGCCTACGAATCCCGTCACCGGAGACGAAGAGCGACACGAAAAGCTTCGGAATCTCCGAGTTCTTCTTCAGCAGAATCGAATCGAAACGGCGCGTGGCGTTCTCTCTTCACTACTTCGATCGGATTCTACGCATTTCACATCGCCGAAAGAGCTCTTCTCCGCCTTCTCACTATCATCTCCGTCGTTGAAACATGAATTCTCCTATTTGCTTCTCTCCGTGCTACTAAACGAATCGAAGATGATTTCTGAAGCTGCCGATTTGTTCTTCGCTTTGAGGAATGAAGGTATCTTCCCCAGCTCAGATTCGTTAACGCTTTTGCTTGATCATCTTGTGAAGACGAAACAATTCAGAGTGACTATAAACGTGTTTTTGAATATTCTGGAATCGGATTTTCGTCCGAGTAAGTTCATGTATGGGAAAGCAATTCAAGCTGCCGTGAAATTGAGCGATGTAGGTAAAGGTTTAGAGCTGTTTAATCGGATGAAGCACGATAGAATCTCTCCCAATGTGTTTATATACAATGTCCTTATTGATGGATTGTGTAAACTGAGAAAGATGAAAGATGCAGAACAGTTGTTCGACGAAATGCTTGCAAGAAGATTGTTGCCTTCTTTGATAACGTATAACACGTTGATTGATGGATATTGCAAAGCTGGGAATCCGGAAAAGAGTTTTAAAGTGAGAGAACGTATGAAAGCGGATAATATTGAACCGAGTCTTATTACGTTTAATACTTTGCTTAAGGGGCTGTTTAAGGCTGGATTGGTGGAAGATGCAGAGAATGTTTTGAAGGAAATGAAGGATCTGGGGTTTGTACCAGATGCTTTCACCTTCAGTATTCTGTTTGATGGTTATTCGAGTAACGAGAAAGCTGAGGCTGCTTTGGGTGTTTATGAGACTGCTGTTGATTCTGGCGTGAAAATGAATGCTTATACTTGTAGCATTTTGTTGAATGCGTTATGCAAAGAGGGAAAGATAGAGAAGGCGGAAGAGATTTTGGGGAGAGAAATGGGTAAGGGGCTTGTCCCGAACGAGGTTATTTATAACACGATGATTGATGGATACTGTCGGAAAGGTGATCTGGTTGGAGCTCGTATGAAAATTGAAGCGATGGAGGAACAAGGGATGAAGCCAGATCATTTGGCGTACAATTGTTTGATTAGGGGATTTTGTGAATTGGGGGAAATGGAAAATGCTGAGCAAGAGGTTAACAAAATGAAACTGAAGGGAGTTCCTCCTAGCGTGGAGACATATAACATCCTGATTGGGGGCTATGGGAGAAAGTATAAATTTGATAAGTGCTTCGACCTTCTTAAAGAAATGGAAGACAACGGGACGATGCCGAATGTTGTTAGCTATGGAACTCTGATAAATTGTTTGTGCAAAGGTTCTAAACTTCTTGAAGCTCAGATTGTTAAGAAGGATATGGAAGACAGAGGGGTTTCACCGAATGTAAGGATATATAACATGCTAATCGATGGTTGTTGCTCAAAGGGGAAGATAGAAGACGCTTTCCGGTTCTCTGAGGAGATGTTCAAAAAGGGAATAGAATTAAACCTGGTGACTTATAACACCCTCATTGATGGGTTGTCCATGAACGGGAAATTAGCAGAAGCTGAAGACTTGCTTCTCGAAATCTCAAGAAAGGGTCTCAAACCAGATGTATTCACGTATAACTCACTAATATCTGGATACGGATTTGCTGGAAACGTGCAAAGATGTATCGCGCTGTTTGAAGAGATGAAGGGATCAGGAATAAAACCCACTCTGAAGACATATCATCTTTTGATCAGTTTGTGCACCAAGGAGGGTATAGAGCTCACGGAGAAAATATTTGGAGAGATGTCGTTGAAACCAGACTTATTAGTTTACAATGGGGTTCTCCATTGCTACGCCGTACATGGAGATATGGATAAGGCTTTTAATTTGCAGAAGCAGATGATTGAAAAGAGTATTGGTTTGGATAAGACAACCTATAACAGCTTGATTCTGGGACAACTGAAGGTAGGAAAACTGTGTGAAGTTAGGAGTCTGCTTAACGAGATGAAAGCCCGGGAAATGGAACCTGAAGCTGATACATATAACATAATAGTGAAAGGGCATTGTGAGATGAAGGATTATATGGGAGCATATGTTTGGTACAGAGAGATGCAAGAGAAAGGTTTGCTATTAGATGTTTGCATAGGCGATGAGCTAGTGAGTGGGCTTAAAGAAGAATGGAGGTCAAAGGAGGCAGAGATTGTCATTTCTGAAATGAATGGTCGCAAGCTAGGTGATGTAATAGTGGATGAGGATCTATCTGCAACAGAGAAGCTTTGAAAATCAAGAATGTGTGCTTCAAGATAAATACTTTTGACTTTGAGTTAGGCTTTAGGTTGATTTGAGTATTAACAATGGTCCATTTGTTCAAGTTTTTTTTCCTTACGTGATTCAACTATTTTGTATCATATATTATGTGATGATATACACGATGCACACGTTACTACCACATTTAGAGAAAACAGTAAACACAGTAGTCAAAAATCACCAAAACATAAATGGAAAAAAAAATTCGAGAAAAAAAAGAGTAGAGTTTTCAAACGTGTGAGTGGCACGGTGGGAGGGATGACTCTAGAAAGGAAAAGGTGAGCCCCACAAAGTCACTAGAAGCATCTTCAAAGCATTTTCTCTGGTTTACACTATTTTAGAGTAAGCTCGTTCTTCTCTCCATAGAACACCTTAACTTGAGCATCAATGGCGGTTACATTTTCTGATCTGCACACAGAGCAAGGTCTCAAAACCCTCGAGGAACATCTCGCCGGAAAAACCTACATCTCCGGGTATACTCTCATATACAATTTGCTATATTAGCTTGTGTTCTCCAATGTTTCTACTCTGATTTGTTCATAATTTGTTTTCAGCGATCAGCTTTCATTGGATGATGTGAAGGTTTACGCTGCCGTATTGGAGAAGCCAGGCGATGGCTTCCCCAATGCTAGCAAGTGGTACGATTCCGTTGCTTCTCACCTCGCTAAAAGGTTCGTTTAATTCTCATTCGTTTTTGCTTCTATTTTGTTTATTGTTGATCTTCGGAGAATGATGACTTCTTTGAATGTTTCAGTTTTCCCGGGAAATCCGTCGGAGTGAGAGTTGGTGGTGGTGTTGCTCCTCCATCTGAAGCTCCGCAGACTAAGGTACTAAAAGTAGTCAAAATCTGGAATGACGCCAATATAATGTGTTTGTAGAATTGAAACAATTCTGTGATAGTGTGAGACACAGAGATTAAGTAGAGGAAAATGCAATTGTGGAGCTGTTGGAATGATAATTTTAGATACTGTGATTTAGCTTTGTCCCTCAACTTATATCTGCAGGCACCTGGTGCTGCTGGAGCTGACGGTGATGATGATGATGATATTGATCTTTTTGCTGATGAGACTGAAGATGAGAAAAAAGCTGCTGAGGAGAGAGAAGCTTCTAAGAAGGATACTAAGAAGACTAAAGAGAGTAAGTCTTTCTCTAGTTTGGATTGGATCTCTGTGGACTATTATAGTAGATTGTTAGAATCTTCTGCCAGAAAGATTGTATGCTCAACACATCTTCTAATTTTACGCACTGAAGTAGAGATCTAGGTGGAGGTTCTGGCTTGCGATTTTAGCTGTGATGTATCTTGAGATCCTGCTCATGTTTGGTTAGTTCTTACTCTCTTTTAACTTTTTTGTTAGGTGGAAAATCTTCTGTGCTACTGGAAGTAAAGCCATGGGATGATGAAACCGATATGAAGAAGTTGGAAGAAGCTGTTCGTAGTGTTCAGATGCCGGGTCTTACATGGGGAGCTTGTGAGTCAAAGAATGTTTATCTAAACAACTATAGTTTGCACAAAAGCTTAAATTTTGTTTTGGTTTCTGATGTGAGCAATTTGTTGCAGCGAAATTGGTACCTGTTGGTTACGGGATAAAGAAACTCACAATCATGATGACAATTGTTGACGACCTTGTGTCTGTGGACAACCTCATTGAAGACCATCTCACCTCAGAGCCTAACAACGAGTACATCCAAAGTGTCGACATTGTTGCTTTTAACAAGATTTAGACACATGAAAAAGATGTTTAGTTTCAGTATTGGTGTCAGTCTTGTTGTGTTTCTAATATAGTTTGATATGACGCTAAAGTCTCTTCTTCTAAGTTCCAAGACCAACTTTGGAGTTGAAGCACTTTCTTTAACTTCACTTGGTCTTAAAGCTCTTGTAAGTTCTTGTCTAAGACAAATTGCAGTTATAATAATATATGCCTGGGATTGGTAACGTGTGGAAAAAAATCATATAATGGTGTGATTTTGACAAGCCTTTTGGTGCTCCATGTTAAATATGTGGGAGGATATAAAATATAAGGAAATTTGAAAGATCCATTCTGAGCAAACAAGCAAGAAACACTTGATAAAACCAGTAACCACAAACTCATATCATCCATCATCTCTCTCTCTCTCCTTTCATTTTTCTTTATTCTAGAAGAGCATTTTATCACCTTTAAAGCGAAGGAGGCACATACTGTCTAGACAAACTAAACAGATCTTTACCCTCAAAAGGCGATGTCCACTCTCTCCCATTTCCCACTAAAGCAGCTTCCTGCACTCCCATCCCATTCCCATTCGTCATCATTCTTGTCCTTCCATTCATATGATGAGCTTCATATGGGGATGAAGCTGCAGTATATGGGGATGATGCTGCCACATACTGCTGGCTCGGTCTCGGACAAGCCAGGCCTTTATCTAGACTCCAGTCGATGTTGTTGTAATCGAAATGCCCCAATGACCCATCCGCGTTCCAGTCCAGCCCAGAAGAAGATGATCCCGCCAACGAACCAAACCCCGAGAAGAGCCCAAGAGATGCAGCTGGAGCCACAGCAACCGGTGCAGAAGACCCTGCCATTCTGTGACCGTTGTTGTTCCCTTGGCCTTGATATTGTTGATACTGAAGTTGCTGGTACATCAGGTTTGAGTTCAGATCATTAGGAGGCAGAGTTCTTGAGGGCAAGTATCCGTTAGATTGGGCCGCCTCAGATCTATTTGCAGGGTACCAACCGCTGCCTGCTGCTGCTGCTCCGGTGAAGGATGCATTCATGGTAGAGACAGGTAACACATTTGTGTTAGCAGATTGAGAACGTTGTTGTTGTTGCTGCTGCTGCATCACCATAACTGGTTCCCTCATATCTTGCTGCTGAAGCCTCTTATATTGATCACCTTGAGCCGCCACATAATGTGTTTCTTCTGTTGATCGCGACAGCGGTGTCTGTTGATATGGTATGCGTTTATTCTCTTCCAGGGTGGCATTTTGTTGCAGTTTCATCCACTGCAACTTCATGTGAATTCTTTCCAACGAATTTACACTTTGGTTTTCGGATTCTCCACTAATGTAACTGGATCCTCTGGGGTAACCAAGATTCTTTCTGTCAAGGGCTTCTTCACTGCCTGCAGGATACATACCTGAGTTAGGTTGTAACTGGGCTACTGTATTCTGACTTGTGAGCACAGAAGGGCATTTGCTACTGTTAACAGAAGTATTATCACTAATATCCTCTACTTTTCTAGACGCAGTAGATTGGTCTTGCTTCTGTCTTCTTAATGATTCTTCTGCTTTCTCAATGTCCCCCTCTGCTGTAACCACAGCTCTTTCTACATCCTGCTTGGTGCACTTATATTTTGTTTCCAACTCCAAGATTCTACCCAACTCTTTTGATATGTCAAGCTTTAAGTTCCCAGAGGTAGGATCTAGTTTCTTATCTGCTACTTTTGCCCCACCATCATCAAACAGCCAATTAATAGATTCCTCTATTTTCCCTTCATTTAGCATAAGAGCGTAAGTTGCCCGCTCATGAGCAATCCCCATTGCTATAATCTGCTGAGCATGAACTTCAAGTTTTCTCGACATGAGATACTGACAGCATCGCTCATGCAACTCCTGAGCTCGCTTTTCCTTTTGACGTTGGTGCTTTCTTTCATTCTTCAGCCGCATCTTATCTCGCTTGTCATTGTCAGCTCCAGGAATTATCTCTTGTTTTGCAGCAGTACTAGGTACTTTCTCTTTGTGATCTTCTGAGTCACCTGACCAGCTACCATTATTAGAGACAGAATCACAGTCAGCTCCAGTAGAATCCGACTCATCAATGTGTCTGAACCGGCCATTATTATGAAGAGATGAGGAACCAGTTGCTGAAAGCGACTCAACGGTTTGAAATGTCCCCAAAAGTGGATTGTAAGCACCAACCACAACACCACTACTTGCACCCATGGATCCCGATGCTTTACTAGGTGTCTTCTGTGAATCATTCATAACCTTCTTGTCTCTTGATTTGATCTTGGATGCGCTAGACATCTTCTCACAACAAAGTTATCCTACAGTTCTCATAAAAAACGAGAATAAGTCAATACAATAATCTTCTCTTAACAAAAACAATATTCTTGTTGAACATCAAAGATCAAAAATGGTGATTTGAGCTTCAATGTCAAAGATGGAGATTCTTCAATGAGAAATAAAGGAACATAGATTTCCACAGAGACGACTATTACTACTACATCGTTAATATCACAAATGTATGGATCCATTGCAAGAACGAATCAGAAAATCAAACACGATACAACAATCTCCGGAGATCATTTCTGAATCGAATAAGGTCAAAACACAAATTCGCGGCGACAAAAGGAACATAGCAATTGAAATCAAATCCATAACAAGAACAAGAAATCATTCCTGAGCTAAAGAGGGACGAAATTCGAACGAATCAAGAAAACCTAAAGGCAAAAAAGGAAATGCGCGATTTGAAGAAGAAACCAAATCGAAGTAATAGATCAGTGATGGGACGGGAGAGAGGAAGAGAACCTGGTTGATCGGAGTCGTTGACGGAGAAGCGAGATCCGGAGAAAAGGAAGAAGAAGAAGGTGAGAGAGCTTAAGGCGATGAGGATGAGGAACGAGAGGAGTGCGATTATATGAATAATACCAAAAAAGAATAAACTCGGCGTTTCGAATCCCCAAATCGATAACACCTATTGGTAAATTAGGGTTTGGTTTAGCAATATTATGATTTATTTCCTTCTTTTCTTTAATTTTCTAACAAACAAACCGAAAATGAGTAGCAAAAACCAAACCAATGTCTTCGTATTATTTTTTTTGTAAATAATTCTGAGCCATTGATTTCTTTTATTAGATTTTTTCAGTTTTTTTTTCCAGTTGTCTTTGTTTTGATTTCAGTTGTCATAAAAACTGATTAATTAAACATTATAGATTTACATGGGTAGGACTCGGACAGAAGTATCTTAGTTTTAGGATTTTGATAACACACACAACTAATAAGGTTTGTACAAATTTTAACAAACAACTAATAACTGGGTTTTCTGTTAAAAATAAATAATGCGGTATAAAACAGTAAAAATTACATAAAACTTTACTGAAAATAACGTCTTTGAATTACTTGGTGGTTTAATGAGACTTTTTGTAAGTGTCAAGAAAGTTCTATATTTCAAAGTCTCACATATGAACATATGGTTTCAAAGACTTTTGGACAAATCATGATGTGTTTTTTTATTAATGAGTCATCATCGCCAAAATGCAAGTCATACTAATTAATTGGTTGTATCAAAAAGTCAAACCGAAAACGAAAGATCTAAAACTATAATTGAAGATTAATGATATGTTTGATTAGAACCAAACTCAATCTAAAACTGTACCACAGTATTTTGATAAAGTACTTAAAATCTAAAAAACCGGAAAACTTAAACCGAAATCAATGAAACCAGCGAAAACGAGGGGTAATATCGTCTAATCCATTAAACGACAACGTTTTGAGTGGTCATCGCCGATTGATATAGTGGTCACTCGCAGTCTGTTTTATGGATTTGACGCAAAACGCAATGAGCTTAGCTTCAGTTATCCACCACGGAATTTTTGCTCCGGCGAAATCGGATCGAATCTTTCTTACCATTCCGGTGGTTCCGCCGGATTTCCGAGCTCGTGGATGGACTGAGTCTCGTTTCTCTCTCCTTATAAATCCCTCTCTCGTTTCAGGTCCTCCTTCTCTCTTTTACACATAATGGAAGGATTCATCTATCTTGGTCATGCTAATGTGATTTTGGTTTCAGCTGCGAATCGTCGTCTCTCTCATCTTCCTCCTATTGCTTGCTCCAGAGAAATCGATCAGGAAGATGATGTTTCTTCTTCAGGTGATTGCTTCTTCTCCAAAAATTTGTTTCTGTGTTTTTTTCCTGAATTTTCTGATTCACGTTAGATTAGGAAGACACAATTGTATATAAAAGAAGAAGCTTTATTTATCTTGTGACATAATTTGCTTGTGGCTTGTTAGTACAGAGAAGGAGAGCAGAGAACTTCTACCACACAAAGACGATGAGAATGCAAGCACTTCTAGCTCTTCTTCATCAGTAGATAGTGGAGGCTTGAAAGATTATCAACAAGAAGAAACATACAAAACTTCCTTCAAGACTGTTGCCTTGTGTGTTAGTATTCTCTTGCATCTGATAATAATACTTTTTGCTCCACAAACGAAACCTGATGCCATATTTTATCTCAATAGGTAGGCACTGCGGTGGCATTTGGAATCGGAATAGGTTTGAAGGAAGGTGTTGGCAAGGCATCAGAGTTTTTCGCAGGGTGCATAGAGCTCAGATATGATATTTTAACTTAACTCTTAAGGATATATTACCTATCTTAAATGTTTTCAACTCTTGCAGCTATATATTGGAGCAAAGCTTGTCAGTGGACAACTTGTTTGTTTTTGTTCTTGTTTTCAAGTATTTCAAAGTACCACCCATGTATCAGGTGCCAAACTATCTTCACAGATATTTAGCTCTTGACTATAGAGTATTCTAATTCTGTGTCCCTTTCTATAGAATAAGGTACTTACCTACGGTATAGCTGGTGCTATTGTCTTCCGTTTCACGCTCATATTACTAGGAACAGCTACTCTTCAGGTGATTTCTATGTTTACATCAAAACGTTTGTTAGTGATTTATTTGTTTCATTTTTCTGCCTCATTTAGTTTTGAATTCTCTCTATTATCTTTCAGAAATTTGAAGCAGTCAATCTACTGCTTGCTGCTGTACTCTTGTATTCGTCTTTCAAGGTGCATGTTACCTCATCGTAGCATTTATACCTATAATTACACACAATTGTTGATATGGTATATAAAGGTTGCTCTGTCATTCAGATTTTTTGTCCTCTATGTGTTAATACAGTTATTTGCAAGTGAAGAAGATGATACAGATTTATCTGACAACTTCATTGTAAAGACATGCCAGAGATTTATTCCTGTCACATGTAATATACCCGGTCTTTTTCTCCTTGTTCCTGCTAGTTGCTAATGTTTGTTACCATCAATGTTTATTGACTGGATTATATGTAGTTAGGCGTCAAATTTTCCAGTGCTTATACTGTTTAGTATGCTTTCATAGCTGATTTATTCCTTCTCTCTTTTGTTTATAACTGCTGGCAGCAAGTTACGATGGAAACCGGTTTTTCACAAAGCATGATGGCATTTTGAAAGTAAGTAGATGACAAAATTTTCCTCCTATATATTCAAGGTTTATGTATAAGTCATTGTTAAGTCTTATTACATGTGGACTCCATGATCAAAATATTCATGATAGTACCTTTGATTGGGTTCTAATTTATTTCAACAATATTTTGGGCAGGCCACACCATTGCTACTTACAGTAGCAGTGATCGAGCTCAGTGACATAGCATTTGCGGTAACTTCCGACACCACTTTGTGAATCTGTTTTTGTCTCTTTAGAAATGAAGCAAATCACTGATACTGGTTGCCCATTTTCTTAGGTTGACTCGATACCAGCTGTTTTTGGCGTCACAAGGGATCCTTTTATTGTCTTGACCTCTAATCTCTTTGCAATCCTAGGTATTTGTTGCCTAAACTTGTTCTTGTTAACTTCTTGCCTGTCTCTTTTCAATGCTCTTGGAACTTTGAAACTGAATTTCAGTTGAAGATTTTTATTTACTTCCTCTGGTGTTTGAATTTGCTGCAGGACTAAGGTCTCTCTATACACTTATTTCTGAAGGAATGGACGAGCTAGAATACTTGCAGGTATCTTTTTATCACTTCTTTTAATTTCCATTCAGCTCATTCAGCCACTTTGTTTCATGCTCGAACAAACGCGGGTCATTAGCAGTAATGCTCATTAAGTACCCATGGACTAGTATGATTTGTATCTAATCTTGTCTTTGTCTTTCCCAGCCATCAATAGCAGTTGTTCTTGGCTTCATAGGATTCAAGATGATCCTTGATTTCTTTGGTATATATATATTATCTCTTCATTCCGCATTTCTGCTTAAACAAAACGGTACAACTACCACAAAAACTAAGCTATCTCGACACTTCTCATCCTTGCAGGCTTCCACGTATCAACCGAGGCATCACTTGGCGTCGTGGCTCTTTCTCTCAGTACCGGAGTACTGTTGAGCCTAACAAACAAATCCAGCGACAGCTAACTAAGAACTGAGAGCTGAGAACAGAATCCAGAGGTATCCAACCAAACAGTTCATAAGAATAAATCGCATTGTCCATCAAAGCATTTCGCTGATGTGTTACTGTAGATAAAATACAGAGAAAGGGCATCTTCCAAGACGTGTATTTTACTTTTTGTTTTGTCGTTAAAAGCTGCAAAGAACAAGACACTTCTTATATCTATTTGTCTAGAAGACATGGGTCAGGCATCCCATGTGCCGCTTGGTGCTCATTGTAGGAGTATGAGATATTCGTCAAGTCATCTCTAAAAGACACAACTCTTTTCTAGGCATTAAAAGATCAAACAAATCACACTTTGATTAGTCAGATACTCTCTAAAGTTGCTGTTTGGCTTATCGCATCAGTATGTTAAACCAAAATCTCCCAAAGATCAAATTATGGTGCCACGAAATGTCAATTGCAGCTACTACTCATGATGAAAGGGTGAGGAAGACAACACTCTCAGCCTAAATATTGAGTAAAAGGTGTCCAGTTGGATGCAGGAAACCTACTAACCCAGCCACATGAATCAAGCATGAGTAGACTTTGCCAGAGAAAGACAAGATGATGATGGAGATGACCAGGTCAATTGACGGTAAACTTTCAACGTCATCCAAATCTACCAAAGTTTACATCTTGAATCAAATTTCTGATACCTGAACTACTAAGTTGAACATGTGATGTTTTCAAGATGATTTTGTAATGGGATAGAGATACACATCACCTGTAGCTTTTTTCATAGTTTGTATCTTCATCATGATGTTTTGTAAAATCAAGGCAGATAAATATAAAGTGACAGTTTGATAATAGCAATACACAAACGAAAGTCAAGAGATACACACAATACCAGTTCAAACACATGGGACTGGATTCACATTCACTTATTAAAAGAAGTTAACTTGGTTAAACCGGAACTCTTATCACGTGGTCTGAGAGCACACAAGGAGCCTGAAAGCAAAGCAAAGCAACAAGACATCAATGAGCAAACGCAAATTATGTGTCAAACAGAGTATCGTATGAGAATGTGATGTGTTTACCGCAGAGAAAGATCAGGCATCGGATTAAACATCGTGAAGGTGGTTGAAACTCTCCAACTGCTTGAGATTCTCCCATGCTTTCTCCAAAACCTTGGCCTCATAGACCTTCTTGGTCTCACCATCAGCCACCTCCACAGTGAGATGGTGCATTGTTCCAGCAACAACCTGTGTTTTCGCACCAATGAGCCTCCTGTACTCCAGAGTCAAGTTCTGTATACATAAGAGAGATCACTAAATAAGAAAAAAAAACGAGAGGAGATATGTTTCTCAGGCAGTGATTGTGTTTAAGGTTAGTGAATTGAGAAGAAGACTATTACAAGAAAATCAATTACGTTCTGATAAATATAATCTTCAAATCAATCTACGCGAGGGAACATAAATGATGGCTCAGACATGAAACTGATCAACACTACAGAAGCAAATGACGCAATCCCTAGATTCTCAAAACAAAATAACAATTCCTGATGCGATTTCAATAAGAATGACCGATAGATCGAACGAGAAACTCATTGATTTGCTATTAAGATAAACTTGGATCATCAACCAAACAAATTTGAGGATAATGAAGCCAGCGAAAGATGATGGGAGAATCGTACCTCGTTCTTGTTATGCTCATCGACAGCAAAACGAGCGAGACTCTCGACTTGAAGATCATTAGCATTTGCATCAATATCGCGAACTCCTCCGACGATTGTTCCTCCTTGTTGATCCGCCATTTTCGATTCTTACTTTTTTGATTTATCTCAAAAAGATTTGATTCGTAGCTAAGTCTAACCCTTTCTCCGTGTTAAGTGTTATATATAGAGATTAAACCGCGTTTTTTCTTTCCTTGAAGAATAATTCTTTTGGAACAAAATAATATTATGACTCATTATAGCACTAACTAGAGAATCTTATTTTTACATCTTTTTTTTGATAAACTAAATTTTTATGTCGGCCAAAAAAAAAAATCTGATTTAAGATTTTAGAAACAGCTTTTTACAAACTTGCTAGTCTCACATAAATCACACTAACAAAGAAGCAAGAGCAAACAATTTCTTATCAATCTCGTGGTAAATATATAGTTGGTTTGATCTTGAACCGGTTTTACAAGCATGAAGAGTCTGCACAGACGAGACTTTTTTACATTTTTCTAAAGTTTTTGGACATAAGCTCCACAAAGGGCCTAATTCCACGGTGGAGAAGAGGATCGATGCAGAGAAGAAGAAGAGGAACCATAGTTGAGGTCAAGATTCTGAATCTGTTCCATAAGTTGTGACCGTCGTTCCTTGAAGAAATCTAGACGAGTGGTTAGCTCCATGAGAGCTGCAGATGCTGCAGGAGGATGATGATTTCTTCCGTAGTCCATTACCTACAAGACCGTTTAATTGCAGTTACATAATTGCATTTTGAATATCGTGAGATTGATGTTAACATGACAACACTAACCGGAGAAAACTCTTCCATTGGGATGCCTAAGGATGCTGCATTCAAGCTCGGTGAGCCTGGTACTTGTCTGGTGTTTCCTCTGCCGTTCCTCCAGTCTGCTCTTAGGCTAGTTTCATCCTATATGATTCAATAGAAGAGAATGTTACTAAAAGATAGTAGTACATATTAGTTAGGAAATGGGCTCAAAGGTTTATGGGAATCCTCGGTTACATAATAAGATTTTGTACCGTTCTTTGATTTCTTTCGTGATTAACGAAAGCAAGAATGGAATCAAAGTCCTGCTGAAAAGACTTCCTGCGAATTTGTAAAAAATAGAATGTTATTTCTCTTAGCGAGTTTACTTTCGAATAATGTTTGGTATGAACTATGTCTATGGAATGAGAGCTAAAACCAGGCACAGAGTGTAAACTCACAGTTGAGTATTGTGATTATGGAGAAATTGGTGATGGCTTTGTGCATCTGGGAGTGAACTTAAGTGATGCTGTCGCTGCTGATTTAGCTGATGATGTAATTCTGCGACTTTCTGCTTCAATCTTGCGACATCAGCTTCAGCAAGAGCAATCTCCTCAAGCTCTGCCCTTGTCTTCACATTTATTGTGATATTAGAACTAAGGAGAGTAAAAGATATAACAGAAGAATAAGAAAACAAAAAAACAGATTTCTCAAGCTAAAGTGTATACTGACTTTGGAATCCGCAGCTTGTGAGCTAAATTGTCCACAAGAAATGCTTAGACCAACTTCAAGAGCAGATCGTAGGTCTCTCTCAGCTTGCAGTTGCTCTTGTAATCTGCCCACCTGACAATTCCATGGCAAGCTCGGTCAGCAAAATGGAAGTTTATTTCCCCTCGCCCAAAAACAATGGAGGATAGAGACATAAAATCTAAAGAGAAGGTTTATACATCTTGCTCAAGTGCCAACCGACGTTCGTGCAAAGCCTGCTTCCTTCTCTCCAAGCTAGCTTGTAGAGCCGCATTTCCTTTAGCCTGTAGTGGTCTAGTCAATCAATACAACAACATTATGTTATCAGCATATAATACTTCTACTGCCAGAACAAGTACCTCCTTAGCGATTCGTTGCCGCAGCTCATCTTTCATGTGCTCGAGCCTCTGTATAAGAAGCCTACAAGCAGCAAACGCGTTGCATCAGGATAAATCAAGCTCATTTAAAACAAAGAGAAAATTCTTTTCTCAATTCAAAAGTGAAGTAGAATGTTTCTCCAGTAAAGACCTTTTTGACATATTTAACCATACATATCTCACATGGGCCTCGTCAATAGAATATATATTTACACTTTTCAATGTAACACGAATAAAAAAGGTTTCATAGGAGTGTTATAGAACCACAATGTATGCATTCAGGATGAGTTATCTTACTCGTCATTTCCTGAGGAATCAAATGATCCTTTAGCAGGTGTTTTCTTGCCCTGCACACAGTAAACAAAGAAAAGAATTGAGATATCACCTTAAACTCAATTTCCCTACAACTATTTACTTCAACATACATGCAACTAACTTGTACTAAGATAAATTATTCCAGATAGATGGGACTTCCAATAACATCTAATCTTCCTAAGACACTGATGGTTAGTTTTCTCATAGGATTATCAATTATGCAAGTTAACAGCTCATCTAGCCTAAAGCACCAATAAGCATGGCACTAAGAAAACTGAAAGGAAGTTCATATCATGACCTGACAACGATAGAGATCAGGAGAACTAATTTCGTCTAGTGGTGATAAAAAAGTTCCAAGGACAGACAAAAATTTCAATAAAAATCCCATAAATACTGAATATGCATAGCAAGTCAGTTGCAGAGACTATGACAACAGAATTACGACTTTTTGTGCCAGACAATGGAAAACTTACGTTGCCTCTTCCCCAGGATGAAGAACGCTTCGAATTGACTGTTGATGAGCCAGTAGTTTTACTTGCAGGTTTCTCAACTGATGTTGTGTATCTGAGGGCAGTGGGAGTGCTGGGAGTAACTGAGGGTATAGCCTCTCTCCCTGTTTGATAACAGTTTTCAGTAGGTGAAACGCTAGAAACTTCTATATCTTTAATAGGCTCTTCAATATGTTTCTTCACTCTAGTGGGAATGTCAGTACTCTCGACTGAACAATGGATATCTCTAGGAGACTCAGCATCTGAATCTTCAACACCAAAACCCTGAGAGAAAGCATATTCAAGGAAAGAAATTATGATGAATTTTTCTGGCAGCATGAGATAATACCAGTTTCGCAATGGAAACCTAAAGTTCACACACCAAACATAACTAAAATGCGATACCCATCTACCTAAAGGCCACATTAGGGGTAACGAAAGATAACAAGACAGTAGCCAATGGTTAACGGAATGCATACAAATGGAAACGACTTCAAAGTTCAAATTTATCCCATATTTCAGAATACTGAATGTAGGTGTACTATGACCAAGATGTATGGGGCAGTGATGGCAAAGAACAAACCTTGTAGTCATACAGATCACTGCCAGCATAATCACTGCTCTCGCTTGGTTTTCTGCTCAGCAGAACATCATTATCATCATCTGTTTCCCCTTCTTCTATATCCAGAGTATGCAAGTCAGGATGTTTAACCTCTATGTCCTCTTCATCACTTGAGTTCTCAGGCCCACTGTCGCCAATATGAGAATCCGTAGAAGTGGAGCATCTTTCAAGACCTTTATCCTGCGAACAAATAGGTGAGCCAATAGCATTGCGTGGCACCAGATATAAATTAGCGGATCAAATGGAATCTTACATTGATCATATTCCCGTAGTCCTCCAAAAGGGCTGTGACAATGGCTTGAGCATTATTGGCAGCATTAGCGGCAGCAAGAAGCTGGGCAGAGTTATCTCCTAGAGAGTCAAAACCTTCTAGATCACATTCTCCAGCCAATAGAGGGCGTAAGAGCAATGGAGACATGCATGCAGCTACAGCAGATGAAGTCATGCGATTCTCACTGGAATGAGAGGTGATAGTATGCATCATCTTTAGAATCCTGCAGAATACAACCCAGGATGAGAATAAAGCTGTTTGAATTAACCTAAATAACAACAGACTTCCAAGCAGCTTTCCATGAAAGCACCACATATTTCCCATGACATATGCAGCTGAGGATTAAATTACCCTCTTAAGTGCAATCCCTAAATAGAATGCCTAAGCATTTTTACGATAATTTCAAATACTATATCTGAGAGCATACCGTAGTAGAAGTCGCCTGTTTGGTTCTGGAAATGTTTCAATTATAGCAGAGCGCAGTGAGTTAACCCGAGCTTCGTTGTGATCAATTTCTATAGAAAAAGGTAAACCGCAAGTTATATATATGCAAATACACCAAAGTATAAACACAGATTCCATATATACAAAGACTTACTATAAGCTTCCAGCAAAGCAGTGCAGCACGACGCTGGAACTGGAGAAGAAGGCAACTGACGCAGAACATGCTGCAGATACAATATCATGACACAAATATGACAACACAATAATGAAAACTGGAAATCATAGTTGATACACAATATAATAGTACCTTGACACAGTCTCCAACAACATGTGGATCCTCTTCAGGACTGAATTCTGTCTTGCCTAGATAAGTACATTTGGAAATTTTACTCTAAGAAAAATCTTTAAGAGGAAGACATCGGAAGAGTAATACAGAAAATGAGCTTATATCCTAAACCTTGTTCGTATTCTTGAACTCTGCGTTCTACCTCCTCAACATCTGCAGACTGTCTTAAGATTCCTTCTATTTTGGTTCCTGTGTCGACAAAAAGGTGCACAATCAAAACGAAAACATTTATATAGGAAATTAGAAACAAAAAACACTTCTATAATAGCCTATATGATGAGTTATAAAAGGAATTGAAAAATATATACGGCACTAAATATAATATAAGAAAATCAATTTTCTAGAGGACGGACAAACAACAGACAATAATGATATCAGATGGTGAACATATAATGGGAGGAAACTAATTAAACTAGGAGGCCAATACTCACCATATGTCTCAAGAAATTGAAGTGCTTTCTCAAGAAAAGATGGACTTCCATCAATTTCTTCTAAAGCTAGCAAAATTGGTCTTCCAACAACCGAAGACTTCAACGGGCGCTGATCCCTCCCTGCATGCCAGGGTGAGATTGATATACATCAGAAATATGAAAGGAGCCATATCAAAGGAGATGATAATAATAAAATAAATGAGAACTAACATGAATTGAAGGATGCTTCAATAGTATTGTTTGCTTCTGTTCGGAATATTCCATTTTGACCAATTACAAGTGCTGCATTGGGAGCTTGTGCAAGGGCTTGCTCAAGGGCAGCCTTCCATTCATACAAGTCGTCCAA